AAACGCGGGCGGGTTTGTTGGCGCTCTCCTGCTCCTGCCTCCAAGTCTCTCTCTTGTTTCCTGGCTCCTTCTTTCTTTCGCCTTTTTAGCTTTTTATTAAAACAGGACCTCTCGTTCTTTCCTTGTTCGCGCAGTGCTCAGCTGCCCCCTTTTCCAACCATCACGCCTTCTCAATCTCGTTTCTTTTTGAGTCTCCTCATATATTTTTTGTTTATTCTCGTCACGCCTCTGGTCATAACTGCTACCCTGTACACACTCATGGGCTTTCTCGTCGTCGTCTCATACGCTCTTCATCCTTGACCGTCTCAACCCTCTGTCGAGCTTTGGGTCTTCTTGTTGCGTCCCGTGTCTTCGTTTCTGTCACGCATCCTACCCAACGGCTGCGTCGTCTTTACGATTTTTGCTTGTGCTCGGCGACACCCTCATCTTGCTCGTCGGCCTTCTCGTCCTTGGTCCTCACGCCTCTCGCCTTTGTCGTCATCCTGGCACCCTCCACGCTCTTTGCCTTGGCCCTCCCGGTTTCCTCCTCGTGCTCGCCCGTACATCTCGCATTTTGAAGTCATTTCTCCCTGCTATGGGCCGCCTCCGTTGCCATATTAATACCGCCCGTCTTCCCACGTCCCGACATATACGTCTTGTGAAGGCCGAGCCGCCAGACGATTTTTGAAAGCCGTTCTTGCAGCTTTTCAGGACGCCGACGACACTTGGAGCTCCAGATCTCAGCATCTCCGCCTCCTTTGTTCTGTCCTCTCTATTTCTTCTCTTTCTTTTTACTTCAAGACCCGACCTCCTCCCGCTCTTTCTACCCCTCTGCATCTCATCTACCCCTCTTCTCACTCCCTCCTATGTTCTCGTTGCTGAGTCCTCCCTCATCCCGATATCATCATCCAACTTTGTCTTCATCTTCATAGCATCTGTCTGCTCAGCTCTCGACACCATGACCGTCCCCATGAACGTCCAGCCTCCCAAGGCTGTTGAGGTCGCTGCCGCCGCTGCCTCTGCCGCCGCTGTGCGAAAGCGGAGACGGCGCACACCGGCTGGCGGTGCTGCTGACGATTGCTTCACCTGTTCCAAGAGGAATGTCAAATGTGACCGGAGACGGCCGTACTGCTCACAATGTCTGGAAGTGGGCAATGAGTGTTCAGGCTACAAGACCCAGCTTACTTGGGGCGTCGGTGTTGCCAGCCGTGGCAAGCTCCGTGGCTTGTCTCTGCCCATTGCAAAGGCACCGCCAGTGGCTCCCGGCTCAGGCAACCGCACGCCGACTAGCCTCAAGAAGGACTCGATTTCTTCGCCAGCACGCCAACGGTCTGAGTCCACCGCCGGCAGCATGAACTCGTGGATGGACCGAGAGGCCATGGCAGCAGCCGCTGTTCTTTCGTCCTCTGCCAACTCTGCAGTCTCGCCTCGGAGACACCACGCACATGACGATGGCGACCTCGCCTACGAACGGTCTCCCTCCGTGTCTCATGCCTCCTACTCGGGTTACGAGTACTCGCCCATGTCGGGCGACCATGCTGCTCCGACGTCCGGCTCTATGAATGTCAATGGCATGCCAGTTCAGGTGCCCATGTCCCAGCCGGACTGGGCTGCGGCGGCTGTGGCTTCACTCTCGCCCTTTTCTGGCAGTCTTCCGACCGAACCGCTTTCATACCACCCGAACCAGCACGCGAACCAACACCACCAGCACATGCAGGCACAGCAGCAGCACCTTTCTACATCCATCGACTCGCTGAGCGAGGTAGACTACGTGTCCCCGATCCACCACACACTTTCCCGCGAAGAGATTGCGTTTCTGCCGACTTCCACCGGCATGATGTACGACAGTCACCTGGCCGGAAACAACTCCCCGGTGCCTGAAAGCCCCATCGCGGCTATGATGATTGAGCAAAGGGCAGCTCCGACGTCGTGCCCTAGTCTCGTCTATGCTCCCTCCGAGCAGGACTCGAGCTTGACATCGTCGCACCCAGACAACTTGGACGTGAATCTCAGCGCCAAGCTTCTGCGGGAATGTGACTCGATGGGTGAGTTCTTCTACATGTATGCTCTTCCTCCGCTCCCACACGGGTCAACCGAGGAGCAGATGAGGTATTTTCCATTTAGAAAATTAGCCTGACCTCAAAACTAACCTAGATCTAGGGACTCCTTCGGACATGGACACCTTCAGTACGAGCGCTCATTCCACGAGCCAGTTCTGGGGTCCCTTTACTGAGGGCGAAACCTCGCCTCAAAACCAGGCGTCCGCGGTCGCTGGAGCCTGGCCGCCCATGATGGAGGACCAGAACACTGTGCCGGTGACCTCGGATCTGCTCGTGAAGATGCCTTTCTTTATGGACTACTACGAAAACACAATGTGCCCGTCCATGGTTTTCATTGACGGCCCGAACAACCCGTTCCGCTGTCACATTATGCAGCTTGCCCGCTCGAGCCGCAGCCTGCAGCATGCTATCTGTGCCCTGGCCTCTTGTAATCTGCGGATGAAGCGCAGGCTCAGCCTTGGACAGCACGGACGCGATCTTTCGGATACGTCGGACGATTCGACAACCCCCGAGGACCTTTCTGTCACCGAGGAATACCAACACCGCAACCTCGCCGTACACCTCTTGAACGAACAACTGAACGACCCCGTTAAGTCCCGCCACGATTCCGTTTTAGCCACCATACTTCTTCTTTGCCACTACCGCATGGCAGAGTCGGGCATTGCACGTTTCCACACGCATTTTGCGGGCGTCAAGAAGATTTTGAGCCTGCGCCGTTCATCGCCATTCCCGCCCTCTCGCGACTGTGCTTGGATGGAATCCGTTTTCACCTACTTTGATGCTATTTCCGCGAGCATCAACGACCGCGAAGGCCAGCTCAACACGTCATTTTATGGCGTTCTGCCCGACACCCAGCTCCTGTCACAGGGCGCAGAGAACCTGGTTGGTTGCGACCGCGAGTTGTTTCGGACCATCGTTAAGCTCGGGCGTCTCAACCTCCTTTCGCAAAACCGCCCTGTACAGGACCTCTTGAATCCCAGCGGCGGCGGCCATGGAAACGGCGCAATGGGCCGCCGTGGCTCCCGGACTCAAGGTTCGCGCCCTGACAGGTTCGTCAACGGTTTCGGGCCTACGCTGGAGGAAGAGGATATTCTGTTGCCTGTTTCCAACCCCACCCCCTCGTCTCTGAACGACCCTCGCATGTTGTTTTGGAGAGAGTGGAAGGAGGCACGTATTGCCCTCCAGTCGTGGGAGTTTGATCCCCAGCGCCTGATTGCCTCGCTGCAGGACTCGACGCCGACCAGCAGCACTCAGGTTCGCGACCTCGGCTCGCTTTCGGAAGCCTTCCGCTATGCTGCGCTCCTCTATACCGAGCGTCTCGCGAGCCCAAACGTGCCATCGGCACACAACAACTTCCGTAACTTGGTTAGCCAGGTCGTCTATTACGCCACGAGCCTCGAAGCCGGGTCGTCTGCCGAGAAGTTCTTGCTGTGGCCTCTTTTTGTCGCCGGAAGTGAGTGCGTCAACGAACTCCAACAAAACATTGTGCGCTCCAAATGCCGCGAGATCATGTCCCGTTCAGGTTACATGAACAACTTGGCCGCCCTCGACGTCCTGGAGCGCCTCTGGGCTAGCGAGTTCCAGGACCAGGACAACATCACCCACCGGCGGGGACCTTTCAACTGGGCTCGCTGCATTGGCGGTCCTGGCGTGGACGTCGAGTGGATCATGTTTTAAGGATACTTTCATCTATTCTCCAGGCGTGACTCAATGTCTTCTCTCAATCTTCCGCTATTTCGCTCTCCCGACCGCTTTCATCACTAATTCCCCCTTTCCTGAGGTGCTGATTCACGGCCTTCTATGTCAACCAGCTTATTGTATTTGTATGGGTTTGTTTCTATTCTGTTTCCCTTCCTATTTTGTTACGGGTCACATCATAATGGTAGGCAGGCTTGCCTTCCTAGTTATGTTTTGTTTCGGCGCTGCTTTTTGATTTCCTATTTTAAATTGGGTCCGCCACTGGTCTGGTTGGGGTGTTTTATTGCTTCTACGGGTATGATTTCCTTTTTTGCTTCTTCCTCCGCTTCTCTATTTGTGCGGTCTCATTCTGGGAACCTCGTGGGTTCTTCAAGGGCGGTAGAAAAAATCACTGGTTTTCTGGTCGCCATGGACGGGAAGATATGCACCAAACATAACACGCAACGCAACACACATATACGCTCGGGAAACACGATTCCTTCAGGGGTCATGAATATAACGACTTCTTTACGCCTCTCTCTATCAAACTACACGTACCATCTACCGTTTACCATCTACCATGTCCTTCGTTCTAGCAATTGCAATTAGCTCTGCAGAGACAGTTTACAACTCAATGCTCACGAAGAAAATCCCCCAAAAAAGGACTTTGTCTTTTGTGAAAGCCGATGTGATATGATGTTAGGCGGCCGATATTCTGAAAGAAAAATAAGAAGGCGATATGTAGTGGTGAGACTTCGCAGTGCTGCGAAAGTGGGGACACCTGCGAAAAGTTGCGTGTTAATGTCCCAAAAAGGAAAGAGGGCATATCAGGCCTGCGTTTGGGCTTTGCAAATGACATGGGCGCATAACAAGGTGAACGGGTCGCTTGGAGTGATGCCCTACAAATATTTCTTTATAAGCGACTTTTGCCTACTTGGAGATTTCTCTTTTGGAAATATTTCGCTCCGCGAGCTTTTTTTGCTTCCATTTTCAAAAATTCATCATGTACTACGGTGATAATCCAGTGTTGAACAGCGTCTGGGACAGGCCGTCCGTTTATACCGGTGAAAGGAGACCAGTCACAAGAAGCACATAAATACAAGTCAAAAGGCAGCCGGGTTGCAAACGGATCCCCCCACAAAAGGCAAAGAAATTCATAATATGTTAATAAATGCAAATTATCGCAATGCAATCCCACGGCAGTCCGTCCTCATCTATAAGAGGCCTGGACCAAGCCAGTCCTCGGCCATGTGTCTATGCTCCTTGGCACGCGTCGTTTCCTGTTTACAGAGACTTCTCCACGGCCATCACCTCGGCGATACCCTCTGCGATGGCGCTAACACGGACGTCGTCGATGCGCGGGAGCGGCCGGCGCGGGTAGCCGCCGTAGCCGAAGTACGACTGGATAGCTTGCTTGGTGCCGGCCACGGCGGCCTTGGTCAGGAACCAGTCACCGCGCGACAGCACCTTTTGCAGCGCAGCGGCCTTCTCGGTCTTGCCCTCGGCATACAGGTTCCATACGCGCGCGCACACTTTAGGCATGACGTTGGCACCGCCGGCAATAATACCGCTGCCACCGCTGACGAGCGTCTGCACGGTGAAGTCGCACATACCGCCAAAGGCCATGTAGCCCGAGCCCTCCGACGAAGGCGTCTTGGCGTTGGTCGCCAACGCCACACGGGTCAGCTTGCCCGTGTTGCCGCAGGTAAACTTGGTGCCGACGATGTTGCGGTGCTTGGCCAGGCGGATGAGCAGGTCTGAGTCCATGTCGATGCCAGACACGGCACCGGGGTAGTTGTACAGGACCAATGGCAAAGGGCTCGCGTCGGCGACATCGATAAAGTAGTTGTAGACGGCGTTTTCGTCCATCTGGGCGCGGAAGTACGAGGGGGGCAGAAGCAGGGTGTAGTCAGCACCGGCCGCCTGGGCCAAGCGGCTGAGCTCAACGGTGCCTTTGACGCTGCCCTCGGTTGCGCCAATGATTATGGGCGTGCTGTTGAAGCCCGCCGCATCCAGCGCCTCTCGGGTAGCCTTGGTAACGGCAAGCTTCTCCTCACGTGTGCAGTGAGCAGCCTCGCCGTTCGAGCCCATGGTCACGAGGCCGACCAGACCGTCACGAACCAGGCGCTCCGCGTGCTTCTTGATCGTAGGGATGTCGAGCTCCTCGGTCTCGGGGTCGAAAAAGGTCATCGTCGGCGCGTAGATACCGCACGGGAGCGGTCGCCGATGTTCGGTATGGCCGTTTGTGCCGTTGGTAGCCGACATTGTGAAGAATGTGAAGGGCGGAAAGCAGAAAAAGGAAGCCGAGGGTGCGAGACGAGCACGTGTAGAACGGAACAAGGGTATCAGATATGCAAGGGTGGTATGAAGCAGAAGAAAGGTACAGAGAGTGAACGAAAGAAACAAATAATTAAGATCCGAAAACAGAGAGAGCGTGAGAAGTAACAGGGAAAATGCCGAACAGTTATAAGTCAAGGGAATAAACCCGAAGAAAATCAGAGAGACAAAAAAAAAGAAAAGAAAAGAGGTGCTGGCCTTCGGTTCACTCTGTTCCAGTGTCCTAATAGTTTCCACGGTGGCTGACCGGAACACGCTTGTGGGAAACGCAGTGATGCAGGTTGGCTCGCAAGGTAATAGTCCGAGGGTTGGCGACTTTTTGCCCCGTGTGGGATTGGTTTCTCCTTCTTTTTCTTTGGCGTGCGCCGTCGCTATTTTGGCGTGCCTCTTGTCGCTCACTCTAGCAATTTGTGCATTTCCCCATACTACCCCTCTTTCCCCGGTTTTCTGACCGATGCCTTTATTTTCTTAACTGCCTGCTTTGACGCGTGTCTAGTGGTATCTTGTGGCATCTCATGGCTTTTCGTGGCATCTTGCGGAAACAAAAGGTGTGCTTTCTGCCTTGCTTCAGTTCTCGGCTTGCTGTGTTGGCCGAATAGAAAGGCTTCTATTTGGCGACAGGGTGCCAGGTGGCAGACCGTCTGTTTCCTGATACGACGCTCAACTTTTGAGTCTATGCCGCCGTTGTGTAGATGACGGCCATGTCCGTCTCTCACTGCAGGAAGAGGTCTCAAGGGGGGCCACGATATAGCCCGGGATGGTTGTGTTCTATATGATAATCGGCATGCGATACGCGAGGAGCATCCTCTCTTCCGTTTCTTTTCACTTGCATGCATTTCCTCGCCTGCACTTGATCTCGCGTCTCGCGTCTCACCGTAATCCTTTATGTCCTCGCCATGCTGCCGGTTCCTTGGCACGGGTCGCAATGTAGCAAGACGTGCAAGGTAGATACAGAGAGAACCATGACCAACACGGTCGTCGTCGTCATATGCGCCACCACTGCATCACGGCCGTCATAAAGCTCGTATATCCGGACGATAAGAGATCTCGGGGCTGGAACAATATAAAAATGTCATGGTCACGACGCTGTAGATAGAAAACAGTAATGGTGGTGGATGAAGTTGGTTCCTGTAATCAAAACATTACCCACGGCAGGCATGCAATATCAAACCCGCAGAATAATTTAGAGCGATGATCCCAAAATAAGAACGGGAAATGGACGCGGCCGCCGACGAAGCGGCACTGGGGCCGTGAAAGCGGTGTACGCTTCGACTCTTGGTGGTCGTAAAAATGTTGAGAGCGGGAAAGTTAGTACCAGTACGACAAATAAGCAGAAGACCAAGACAGGTTCATGGCATATTGGAAGTTGAGTCGGGGACAACAAAGCAAAAGAAGCATTCAAAAATGCGAAACAACCAAGAGTTACACATCCGAAAGCAATTGCTGTGCCCGTGACCTCAGTCTAGGGTGCAGCACAGGGGCCCCAGGATCAGCGGAGCTGCACAAGGCCGTTTTAGGACACCTATTTCCTTGGGGCCGTCGTTTAATGCGTCAATTTAGCTTTCTTCTCCTGCTGTATCGTCTGGTTGTGCTGCCATGCACACATCAAGGTGGGATCAGAGTTTGGGTGTACACCAATCCCCTCTGGACGGGTGCCGCAAATGCCACAAGAGAAACATATGGTGGATACGTAGCACTCACCCCATACGTTGCGCCATGTTTCTTGGGGCCAATGATATGTGAGAATTCGGATTGCCATCGGGACTTCATACCATTGCTTGTCGATTGCTTGTTCGGCATCCGGTATATTCTGCTCGTCCGGATGAAAGTTCTCCGGCGCGAGTCCGTGATCCCGACAGGTCCGTTTCGTATCAATCACTAGCAGGATTAAACAAGTATTTTGGACAGTTAGATTAGTAGGCTGAAAATAGGAAGCAATTTCTGACGTTGATGTTGATGTTGTAAGAGAACTTTCTCAAAAGGAAAAGGGGCAGACTGGAAGACTGCGGCTGTGCCTGGTGGTGCACAATCCGAGTCTGGTAGGCGCGGCCAGGTTGCGCCTTCCTCGACGCATTTGATTATGTGCAAGAGAACCACCACCGGTGCAACATAGGCAATTGCGTGTATCGGCAAGAGCGCGTAACTGAGGTGCATCTGCGATACCCGATGCTCCTTCCAGGTTTGCTTCTTTGCGATACGACACTAGAATCAAGCACGGCAGGAGCGCGTCTGGGCTACCCATCTTCATCTCCCATGTGCGTAACGAGTCGAGTGCGCACCTGCCAACTGCCTCAAACAACTCCCGCTGCTCCGGTACTCGGTGAGCGTTGGAGGGCAATGGAAAGAGGTTCTCGAAAATCCGTGCCATGCAAGGAGCGGCCATTAACACGGTCCGCCTATTGCGACTTACACGATGTAGGAATCGATGTGCGCTAGTGACGGAAAAACATGTTGGTGTATTTTTCCTCCAATCAGCAACAGTCACTGTCACCCACATTAAACCAAGGTGACAACACCACCAGCAAGCCCAAGTGCCATAGCGAAACCGCTTCTAAAGGGTATGGGCGTGTACATCGCCGTCAGTAAAGGCTCGTTGTCGATACTGTGCTTTTGTTGTTGGAGGTCGTTCGCACCTTCCGGCCGCCGAGGGTTCTAGCCTTCTGTTGTTTTACTCGAAGGACCGACAACTCCTTCCCAACTCAGCCAAAAGATGCACAGCACTGACTGCGGGGCAGCCTAACTGTCGGGCAACACTGCAGGAGAAAAACGTGGGGGCGGGGCATCGACAACCAGCACTGAGACCCGGCAGCGTCATGAGAATGCCGTGTAGGGTTCCTCCAAGTACAGATATTGCATTACAAAACATGCCATTATGATCTCTCCTTCCGCTTTTCGGTTTCTTGCATTCTGGCCTGATATAACTCTCTGGGAAAGAACGATGTACTTAGCTTGCCACACAACATGCACAAACGGCAGGTGCGCGCGCATCCTAGTCGGGCAAGAAAGCCCGACTATTCACGCTGATAAATGCCAACTGCCCCCCAAAGCTGGCAATGTAGATATAGACCAAAAAATAAGAAGTCTGGCCTGGCAGGTTTACAACTCCAAAATGCTGTACTGTAAGCGGCTATAAGAAAGCAAGTTCCGCCAGCAACGAACCCGTAATGAAGCGACGATGCTATACGGGAAGGCCACTGCTCCTTCCCTGAGCCCCTTGAAATATCCAGGAAAGAACTCGCGGAGGCAAGTCCCTGCTTCCTTCCTCGCAACACGCAAACAATGCAGTGAATTGGATGGCCAAAGTGTCGCTCTTGCCCTGACTAGCGAAGCAAGTCAACTGGCGGACGTCATTAGGCCGAAGCCTGAGCCAAGCGCCGTCTTTCCGCTCCTACAGCCGTCGTTCCTACCCCTCAAAACCATCTCCACCAAAGCTCCGCCAGCCTCCAAGCTTCTACCATTGTGTATTTTTCCGTCATCCGACACAAATCTGTAGCGGGAACGGTTTCTCCAATTGGCCTCTTGGTTTGTTGGAGAAGCCAAGCTCGCAGAGACCGCGAATCAAGTATGAAGTAGAGCCAGACCCGCAGCAAATCGACCGCACCTATAAGACAAAATCCGAGGGAAAATCGACCTGCATCGAGCGTCTTTCGAATCTTAACGGTTGCAAAGAAGCCCAGAGATACGAACTGCGACAGAAAAAAGTGTTTCCAAGGCTTCATTATACCCCGTGTTTTTGTCGTCTTTGTCCAATTCACCAACAGCAACCGAAATTATGGCCACTCTCAATGTTCTGATGGTACGTGGAGGACTGGGTGAAAAAAGCTTCAATCCGCTCCGCCATATACTAACAAGTTGCATAGGTCGGTACCGGCGAGTACACGACCGGCTTCGTCGGTGGCGGCGCCTCTGGCTCGGACAAGAAGGTCGGCGTGGTGGGTCTCAGCCTTTTCGACCTGCGTCGGCGCGGCAAGGTCGGCGATCTGTCCATGGTCGGCACGACAGGGTCCAAGTTCCCAGCCATTCGTGAGTTTTCTTGGGGTGCCACTCCTTGCCGCCTTGCTTGCCATACTAACAAGACTGCTGCAGGTGATCACCTGCAGAAGAACATTACCGAAGCGTACAACGGACTCGACACCTCCTTCACGTCGTACCCGGCCGAGGGCGTCCGGAATCCCGACGCCTACAAGGAAGCCATTGATGCGCTCAAGAAAGGCGACGCCATCACGATTTTCACTCCCGACCCGACGCACTTCCCCATTGCCCTCTACGCCATCGAGCGCGGCATCCATGTCATGATCACCAAGCCGGCCGTCATGACCCTCGAGCACCACGTGGCGCTGATCGACGCCGCACGGGAAAACGGCGTCTACGTCTACATTGAGCACCACAAGCGCTACGATCCGGCCTATGCCGATGCGCGCCACCGCGCGAAAAAGCTCGGCGACTTCAACTACTTTTACAGCTACATGTCGCAGCCCAAGTCGCAGCTCGAGACCTTCAAGGCCTGGGCGGGCGTCGAGTCTGACATCTCCTACTACCTCAACAGCCACCACATTGACATTTGCGACTCCATGGTCGCCCAGCTCGGCTACGCCCCCGTTGCCGTCACCGCGTCCGCCTCCACGGGCGTGGCTACGGCGCTCGGCTGCGCACCGCAGACCGAGGACACCATCACGCTGCTCGTGCGGTGGCAGCACAAGTCAGAGCCCGGAAAGAGCGCGACAGGCGTGTACACGGCGTCGTGGACGGCGCCGCAGCGCGCTGGCGTGCACTCGAACCAGTACTTCCACTACCTGGCCGAGAAGGGCGAGGTGCGCATCAACCAGGCGAAGCGCGGCTACGACGTGGCCGACGACAACGCAGGCCAGCTGATGTGGTACAACCCGTTCTACATGCAGTATGCGCCGGACGAGGACGGTAACTTTGCAGGCCAGTCGGGCTACGGCTACGTGTCCATGGAGAAGTTTGTGGACGGCTGCCGGGCGGTAAACGCGGGTACGGTCACGCCCGAGGGCCTGGACGCCAAGGCGCTGCCCACGCTGGCCAACACGATTGCAACGACGGCCATCCTGGAGGCCGGCCGGCGGAGCATAGACGAGCGCCGCGAGGTCGGCATCGCGACCGAAGGCGGCGTGTGGAAGCTGGTGTAATGAAAAAAAGAAAACCCGATTCCGGTGTCCTTGTGCTAAACCCCGCGTAGGACAGAACTGCGTATTATCTAAAATTTTGATTTTATAACCAAAGGTACTCGCGTATTGTTGGGATATTTTTTATATTGACTATTGCTGCACGACACAAACGTCTCCATCTCAAGCCGCTTGGCGTTGTCGCTGTGCCGCCACAATCGTACGACGACGGAATCAGTGGGCTAGACATTTTGGTGATCTCATGGTGGGCGGAAACAACCGTTATCAGATGCTTAAGTATTGTTCTATTTTATGCCTTTCAGAAAACGCTCCCGCACGCAATGGTATGCTCAGACAGCTTAAAAAAGATTTTTTTTTTTAAAAAAAAAAAAAAAAAAAAAAAAAAAAAAAAAGTAAATAGAAAATACTGGGCCAAGAAAACAATGCGACATACATGCAAAGACGTAAACAAAACATCGAATACCATAACAAGCTAGAGTAGATGGCCATCCTTTCCAAAAGATATCGCTTCTGCCCAGTAACCTCTAAGCCCTGTAAAAAAAAACGCCCACGACGAACAAGAAACGAAAGAGAGAAAAATGAAAAATGAATGGCAATACGCATCAACGTTGAAAAAAAGTGAGCTCTGGACGTTAAACAGTTCCATTTCGTGGGAAGAAAAGTGTGAAGACCATCGAACGAGTGAATAGGAACGCGAACGGGCCAAAGCTCCCGCATAAGTGTGGTCCGGTCGTTATCAATCTTCTCCGTTCTCAGTTCTCAGTCAGCATCACCATGTCTGGATCATAGCTCGTATCGCGTTTAGTGGTGATCGTAGTTGGCATCAGGAAAGTGCACGGGGCGGGTATCGTCGTAGGCATCGTGCACCGTGGGCGGCGCATAGCCCGAGTGGGCAGAGGTGCCTATTGACGCCGAGCTCGCAGCAGGGCGCAGGCCATGGTTGTCGTCAAAGGGGTTGTCAGAATGCGAGACATTGCCACCACCGTAGCTGCTGCCGCCACCACCCAGGTAGGTGGTGTCCATGTGGCTACCGGCGTTGGCGTAGCTGCTGCCACCCCCGCCGACCGTTGAGCCGCCGCCGTAGCCGCCCATGTCACTCTGGTAGTCGTTGTGATCGTAGTCGGGGTCCATGTTGTTGATGCGGGCGTAGGGTTCCTCGTCATGCGGGGCAGTCGAGAAGGCGGCCATGTCGGGGTCGATGTTCTGGCCACCCTTGGCGCCGGTAGTCTCATAGCCGGGCAGGTGGCCGTTCATCTGGTAGTACTTGAGAGAATAAATGCTCAGGAATGTCGTGATGCCGAAGAAGATGCTGGGGCTGGTCAGTATACGCCATAAACAGTAAAAAAGGAAGAAAGACAAAAAACTAAACAGCAAAAAAATAGGAAGCCGCGTTTGCCGGACATACGTGTTGAAGACACCGAGAGCTACGACGGCCTTGCTGGCGCCGCAGCCGTCACCGCACTTGCCAGCCGAGTTGAAGGAGGCCTGTGCGGCAAAGGCCGACAGCCAGAGGATTGTGTAGAGTGAGTCGATGGCGACCATGACATGAGGTTCGGCAAAGCGCCGTGTCCGGGGGAAGCGCGGCGCGCCAATCAGGTAGATCCATGCTGGTATTGAGAGGAAGCACTGCGGCCGTTAGATTTCCATGTTTGACAATGTTCCACTGGCGCCTCGCGCCGCAGGCTCACACCCGCCGCCATAACGCATTTGTGTCCGACGTACCACAGCAAATGCCCAACCGTTCGGGCCACTGACGGACGAGTCCTTGGCGCGGAACACGACAATAGCCAGGACCCAGGCCACAAAAGAGAAGGCAATCTGGGTGACATGGAGGATGAGTTTGTAGAGCGGAATCCTGTCCGTGTTGATCTGCAAGTCATCCAACATGATGGGCGACTCTGTCAGGGTTGGTTGTCAAAGGTAGAGGTCGAGAAAGTGAGGCCGGTCGGAGGATGCAGCGGAGGTCTGTTTGCCAGAAAATTCGTGCCGAAGCTGGTACGGTCGAGACAGCTAGCGACGGCAGTCGAAAACGAGACTGAAAGAGTCGATGTCGAAGCTCAAAGCTCGAAGATAGCAATAGTCAAAGGGGTGTCGGCGGTTGGGAGGAGCTGTTCGACAAAAAGAAACTGAAGCTCGTTTCGACCTTAGGGGGTTCGCGCTGTTCCAAAAAAAAAGAAGAAGAAATCGTTGCGGTTAGAGGTAGAGCCGTGACGAGAAATGCGAAATGGAGAAGCAAGGCCCAGAGTCGAAAGAGATTAAGGAGGTGGGAAGATGATGACGAAAAGGAACAAAGACGGAAGCGGAAGAAACAGAAGACAAGGCCAGTCATGCAACTAAAGGTGCATCTGGAGAATGGGAAGGCGCGTTTGTTCCGTCTGATTTTGACGAAAGAGGCAGAAGCATAAGCAGGAGCAACCCAATCGAACGCGCGGATGGGTTCGTAAGGGTGGTTGCCATCGCCCGCTTGTTCTTTCCAGGCCCGTTCCTCCCCTGGATCTGGATTTTTGTTGCCCTGCGCCTAGCCTGGGCTGTGTTTATTTTAGTCTTTTCCTCGTTGATCCCGTCACCATAACCTATTGGCGCTCTCTATTGGGCCGTGGGCCTGAAAGAGATCTATTTTCCTTTATTTACCGTCGTGGTCCCTGTTTTCCGGCACACTATTGTTTTACTTTGACGCTATCCGTCGCCAGGTGTAACGGCCAGGGGTCGGCGGCTCTTTCCTGGCGTTGCCTAAGAAAGATGCTTAGGCGGGGCTAAATTTTCGCGAATCAAGGGCGCTCAGCCGCACAGCTCTGAGGCAAAGAATCAGCAAGGAGCGAGAGCCTGAGAGAGTAGGTGCGTGGACCGCACGAGGGTCGCCACCAAAAATCTGGCGAAACAGCCTATACGAGCTCAGCCACAGCACAGCAGCAGGCACCTTTGTTTCCTTCACTTTTGTCTTGCGCAGTGGGGCGCACCTTCTCTGTGGGTGGCTGTGGACACTCAAACGGCAAGACGAGGCGGACGTGAAGTAAACGGCAAGAAAGAAAAGGGAAAGAGCGATGGAACAGTCTTGTCCGGAGCAGGAGACGATCCCATCGCAGGTCGTCTGTGCGACATGGAGCGTACGATATGCACGTCGGGTTAAGAAGCCCAATGACAAGGCAGATACGACGCTGAGCTGAAAGAGATAAGACCGCAGGTGGTATGAAAAAGCGACCACGACAAGGCCAGCGAGAAGGGAAAGGCAGAAGTCTCTTGAGACGGCCAAAAAGGCGCAACAGGACAGGCAACAGCATAGCAAGTGCCACTTTTGGGGCCGCAGCAAGTTCCTTCCTCCATTGTAATATGCAGTTTCCGTGTTCGCATGTTGGCTCCTGTATTGGGAAGTAGTTGGTCGCCTATCTTATTTCCTTCCTTGTACGAATGTAGTCGTGTCGTCACTCTTTCCCAATTTCTCGCTACTCTGCCGCCCCGCACCATTCACACATAATGCTGTCCGATCGCTCTTGCCGTTACTGTGGTGCCTTGCAAAAGATTGCGCGCTCTTGCCCTTGGCACACTCCGCATAGAATTACTGAGCCTTGCGGAGCGGTGTTTAGCTCGGCGCAGTCGCGTGGGAAAGAGCGATCGAGTATTTGGAGCAGTCGCCCCGTATGCACCTATGCGATCTACAAATCGGTCCCGGCATCCTGTCACCAGAAACCTCATGAGTGGCTGTGGCTGCCATCACAAGCATGGCCAGGCGTTTGCATGTTGGGATAAGATGCCGTCGGCTGGTCCATTCTCAGGAGTCGTCACCCTGTAATTACCCCGTACGATGCGACATCGAGCTCACTGGTAAAGTGATTAAACTAGCTCCAGCAACAAATTTGCTGAGACTCCACAAACCATACTTACTTGGTACCCAGGTTAAATCCCACGCTTTTGTTTTTATTTTATCTCGAGGTCATCCTCGTGATTATCGTGATAGCTAACCCGCCGTTAACATGAGCATATTCTGTTATGCAGTTACGCGGGACTCGCTCTTTCCCGAACATAAAAACAGTGATGGGGGCAAGCACCTTCCGATCTAGCACAGATTGGTGGGGACGCCGATAGCGCAAGACGATGACAAAAGCAACCCATTGCTCAACGCTCCTGCCGTGAAGGCGACATCAAAGAGCCACAATCGACGTAGTCTCCTGAACTTTGTCGTTTCACATCCATTACACAAAAAAGGAGGCAACACAGTGAGAGTCTCGTGTACTTTCTAGCACAACTCGCACGGCGCACACGCTCTCTGTTGAGGCTCTGCGTACTGGTTTACAGACATCTTGGCATCCGGTTGTCTGCCTGTACAAAATGCCAGACGCTGAGTCCGCCCCGTCTGCAGCCGCAGCTTCGGCTTCAGTCTCCGAAAGAACACCTCTTCTGCCCAACAGCAATGGCAGCACAAGCAGCGTCTTGTCGACGCCCAAGTATGCCGCAAACGGCACAGTCGGTGCAAACGGTGATGCTACGGCTCCCGCGGGCAATGACGACCTCGAAGACGCCACGGCCGGCGGCGACGAAGAGCAGGTCGTTGTCGTTCAGGAGACGCGGACGCGCATCTTCGTGGTCCTCGGCACCGTCTACGTCGGCGTGTTTGTGGGCGCCGCCGACGCGAGCGTCATCGCCACGTTGTCGGCCCCCATTGCCAGCGAGTTCCGCTCGCTCAGCTTGTTGTCGTGGCTAGCCGCGGCGTATCTGGTCGCCAACGCCGCCTGCCAGCCTGTTTCGGGCCGCATCACCGACGTCGTCGGCCGTGGCCCCGGCCTGGTCTTTAGCAACGTCTTCTTTGCCTTGGGCAACCTCATCTGTGCCTCTGCCCATAGCGCCAGCACCATGCTCGTCGGCCGCGTCGTGGCCGGCATCGGCGGTGGCGGGCTCATGGCCATTGCGACGTTTTTGGCGTCCGACCTGGTGCCTCTTCGCCAGCGCGGCGTCGCCCAGGGCATCGGCAACATTGCCTACGGTACAGGTGCCATGCTGGGCGGCGTGCTGGGCGGTGCGACCGAGCACGTCTGGCAGGACCGCTGGTACGGCGGCTGGCGGCTGGCCTTCTACGCTCAAGTCCCCGTGTCGGTCGTGTCTGCCATCCTGGTCTTCTTCTTGGTCCGTGTCCCGCCGCACCAGCCCGCCGACGACGTCGGCCTCGGCCACAGCAACTCGGCCCTCTCCCAGCTCGGCCGGATCGACTTCCCCGGTGCCGGCTTGTTGGTGGCCTTCCTCGTCACGCTTCTTCTCGGCCTGAGTGCCGGTGGCAACATTGTGCCCTGGACACACCCGCTTGTTCTGGCTTCGTTGCCCCTGGCCCTCGTTGCCTTTGCTGCCTTTGTGGTGTGGGAGGCGGACTACGCCCACCACCCCATCATCCCCGTGCGCCTGGTGGTGACCCGCACCGTTCTGGCTGCTTGCGTCGCCAACCTTGTCTGCACCGCCGCCATGCTCGCTGCCGTCTTTTACATTCCCCTCTACCTGCAGGTGCGCGGCTACTCGGCTGCCGAGGCCGGCGTGCGCTTGCTGAGCTCGCCCCTTGCCGTGTCTTTCACGTCGGTCGGCAACGGCCTCGTCATGAAGAGCACGGGCCGCTACGTCAGACTCGGCGTCGCGGCCCTCGTCATCTTTGTCGGCGGCTACGCTCTGGCGGTCGTTGGCCTTTCGTCTACCGACTCGGCACCTGTGTTCCCCTTTGCGTCGCTTTTCTTCATCGGCGGTGGCTATGGCGCCATGCTCACCATTACGCTGCTCGCCTGCATCGCCTCCGTCGCCCATTCGCGCCAGGCCGTCATCACGTCCGCCACCTACGCCTTCCGCTCCGTTGGTGGCACGCTCGGCCTGACGCTGGCCTCGGCTGTCTACCAGAACATTTTGCGGGCAGAGCTGTGGGCCCGCTTTGGCCATCTGCCCGGTGCCGCCGAGGAGATTGCGCGCATCCGCGACGACCTGGGCGAGCTGCAGCACTTGCCGCCGGGTTGGCACGATGGCGTCATTGCCAGTTTCATGGATGCCTTCCGCGGCGTGTGGCTGATGGGTCTGGGTCTCGGTGCCATTGGTCTCGTCGCCATGGCACTCATGAAGCAACATACGCTGCACTCGACACTTTCGCGGCCGTAGAAAAATTGTCCCAGCTCTCGTACGCTCACACATCCGCGCGTATTTGGCTCTCGGAGTACCTCAAGCTCTTGCCATATCGATAGTCCGGCCTCGTATTTCTGGTTTGCCTGAAAACCATTTGCTCGTTGATGACGGTTTTCTATAACTGGTTTGAATAGACAGATAGTTTTTTTCGTAGAACTTTAGACTATATTATTCAGGACACTATTGGTTTATTTTTATTTTATTTTATTTATTTTTTGGAAAATAATTCGTGCAGTTCCTTCATATCATCTGAGAGCACTTCATGTTTTTAAAAATATCCATCTCAACCAAAGAATATTGTGGAATTTATAGTATAAGTACGGCGTATCTGTCACGCAATCCGACTCAACTTTCAGGTATCGATTCTTAAGTGTAATGACATAACATTGCATGTTCCTCCTTTTGGGAGTGTCTTATGAAAGCTCTTTTATACTATTCTACAACCCAGCAAAGGCACTTCGCAACCAAACAACCGAGTCGTGCAGCCTGTCAAAGTGCATCGTCGCCTTAAAGGCAACACTCGCGTTCGAAACAAATAAAAAAAGACGTCAAAAGTCTGGCACCGCAAAGTAAAGATGTGCATCCGATCCCATGGCAGGCAGCCATGCCGAGCCTAGTCAAATGCTAGTAAAACGCCACGGGTGGTATAATGAAACAAGCAGATGTTTAAATAAGAAAAAAGAAACGGAATGATGGAAACGGGACAAAACGCTGTTGGGCAAAAAGCAAAACAGGTAATCGAGAGATACAAAGCAAAGGCGCCTCAACAAGAGGAATGCTGCGTCCAGGCCGTTCTGTCCGACTAGAGTTTTTCGACATCAGACATCAGCATCCATGGCATCGTTGAAATCGCTCCACAGGGACTCGCTGGCCTCAAAGGACATCTCGCCGCCCATAGACACGAGCTGGTCGCTGTGGTGCTTGTGGCAGCCGCCGCCGTTCTTACGGTTGACCAGCGGCGACGAGCTCGGCATCACCAGGTCCGTGTCCAAGTACGAGCCAAAGTCGAGGTCGTCGGCCACACTGCCAAAGTTGGCCGTCAGACCATCACTGTCAAGGTTCGCAAACGTGGCCAAGTCCAGGTCCGTGAGCCCATGCGACGGAGAGCCCGTCGTGAAGTCGTTGGCCTCGGACAGCAGCTGGTTCAGCGTCGAGGTGAAGGGTGTGTCAAACGGCACGCCGTCTAGCTGCAGAGGCACGTGGAGAGACTGCTGCTGCTGCCGCTGCAGGCGTGCAGGCGTGACCGAGGCCGTGCGACGCTGCCGGCTGGCGCTGCCAGGGGCAGGGACGGAGCGAGGCGTTTTGGATGGCGTGCGCTGCGCCAAGAGCATGAGACCCTCCAACACAGGGGACTGGGGGCCAGCGCCGGTAGTGGCCGTCGTCGAGCGCGCGATGGATTTCGAGACGCTTCTCGTAATCGGCCGGTGGCTGGGCGTCGGCCGCGTTGGTGTCTTAAACGGGCCCGAGGCAAACACGGGCGATTCCCGGCTGTTGCTCGTGTTGGGTGGGGGGGTGGAGGGTCGTGCCGTTGGCGGCGGCGGCGTGCCAAAGAGGTCCTCCATGTCGTCGGCATCCTGAGCGCCGTCGATCCTCGTTTGAGCCTCGCCACTCAGCTTCGCCCCGGACCGCGCAGTGTCTTCAAACTTGGACGGGTTGGCCTTGGCCTTGGGCGAACCGAGAACGGTTCCTATCACATTCACGGCCAGCTCGCCGAGCACTTTAAGAACGCCTTCTTTGCGAGGTGAGGGGAAGAGGAGGCGACGGGTGGTTCCAAACTGGTCGTCCACAGCAATCGGGCTGTCGGCTGTGCCGCTGCCTCGCGAATGCGTCGATCCAGGTCCACCACGGCGTCGCTCAGCAGAGCCTCCACCGCCCGAGGCAGGTTCCTGGTTAGACCCTGCCTGAAAATCCGGCTGCTGCAACGACGCTGCATTGGAGCTGTCACCGCGGGAGTGCTCCTCGCTCAAGGCCGAGTTGTTTGGGTTCTCGTTCTCGTTCTCGGATCGCTTGTTCGGCTCTGCAGTTATCGCCGGCGGCTTCGGGACAGTTGTCGTCGATGCTGGAGGCGGGGGAGGAGGTAGTAGTGCTGCAGGCGGTGCGGGTAGGAGCTTGGGCAGCTTTGTGCCATTGGGATCCGTAGGCGGGGGCGTGTCAAGAATTTCAATGTGGGAGGCCTGCGCGTTGGCGGGCGGGCCGTTGTCTTCGGGGCCTGCCGGATCCGTAGTCAAGTACGCCTCGGACGTCAGCTGCGTCTGCGGGTCACTCTTGGCCCGAGACTTGCGCGGGCGAGACGTCTTGAAATTCGTCCGGGTCTGTTCGAGGCGGTCCAGATCCTTGTCCCACCGGTCGCGAGGCCGGTGGCTCCTAAATTTGCCGACCCAAATACCACAGGCTACAGAGGCAAAAGAAAATATGTTAGAAAGGACTGTTCATGTGCACAGACTGTGCTGAAAGGACACGAGGGGTGCCAAAAGAACAATACGTACGGTTGCAGAGAAGCATCTGTGTCCAGAGCTTCCCATTTTCGTGGCTGTTCAAGGATTTCCGGACAAGACGGTACCGGGTGGATCTGCCCTCCGCGTCGCGCTCGAGGACTTCAATAAACGTGATGGGGCAGTTCTGGTCTTGGAAATTGTAATAGCCCGGCTCGCCCTCGTGCTCCTGCGTCCACATCTTGCGCCACGTGGGCGTCTCGATGGCACCACAGTTTTGGCAGTATGGGGGCATTTCACCGCTCTGAATTGCCTTTTTGAGCCGTTCGCGGATGGCAGCCTTGCGAACGAGGTTTTTGTTGGAGCGCCCGCTGGGCACGTCTGCATCACTAGGCGGGCACGGTGCTTCGGAGAACGCAGTCGGTGGTGGCGGCGGCGCAGGAAGAGCCAACGGCGGCAGTCCCGCAGGGTCGCTAGCCGGCACGGTCGTGGGCACGGAAGGGAAGGGCAGGGGGGGCAGTGAGCTCATAAATCTTGCCATTTCGGCAGCTGGCTGCTGGGGCAGAGTCGGCTGTGTTTGAGGCGACTTTGGCGCCTCGGATGGTGTCGCAGCGGGACTCTCGTGCGTCGCAGTAATCAGCTTCGACAGCTCCTTGATGTCATCGTGGATGTCAAGCTGCGAAAGCTGCGAGGTGTCAGTCTTGCTGGCATCGGCATCCATGTCGCCGTCCGTCGGCAGCGAAATCGATTGGTGGCGAAGCTGTGACAGTGGCCGCTGTTCGGCCTGGGCATCGGCCTGCAGCTGGTCTGGCAGGGAAGGGGGGTGCGCAGGCTCCGAATGGGACCGTTCCAGTGGCCGAGGCGGAGCTCGTGCAACCATGCTGTTGGCTCGCGGGGGTTTCGCTGCGCGTGGCTTCGGCTGGGGAGGGTTATACAAGACGGTGGTGGGGAGGAGCTCCGGCGGTCCTGGGATCATAGCCAAGAACGGGTACTGCTCCGAATTGTTCGCGGTGTTTGGCGCGGACCGTTTGTTGGAGGTCCGGTTCGTCCGTTTTGGTGACCGCGTCGAAGAAGAGGCTGACGACGTCGAAGACGTCAAAGACGGCACAGGCGCAGCTGCTGGTGGCAGCGGGCCCGTGTCAGCGGAGCCTGTCGGTGGCGGCAGGGGCAGCGAGAACTCCATGTTTGGCGTCGGCGCGGCGGTCGCTATGGGCGTCGGTGGTGGCAGGAACTTGTCGTTCAGCATCGAGTTTTCATCATCGCCGAAGAGGAGATCCTCCATGCCGCCGCTCATAAACCCGGAATCAGGTGGTGGCATGCGCATAGCAGGCAGGGGCGGACTGGACGGGATGGGGCTCGACTGCGGTACGTAGCTCGTAGTACGAGGGACCGGGGGCGACGAATTCATCTCAGGCGGGCTGTTCTCCGGCGTGTAGTTCTCTGGAGATGGAGCCATCGAGTCGGTGGGCGAGCCTGCGGGCAACGAGCGAGCATACGAGTCTGCGAACGAAGAGGGCTCGAGGTTGGCCAAGGACTCCCGCCGGGCCCTTTGGGCCATCAACTTGCGCGCATGGTGTTGGCCCGGGGCCCCGCCGCCCTGTGGCACAGGAGTGGGTGCACGCGGGAGCTCCTGAAGATGGGAGCCTGGTGCGGAGGGGCCGTCGGTCGAGGGAGGCTGCGGCAGGACCGGCCGCAGTGTGCGCAGAGCGCCCGACGTGCTCGCGGCGACGCGAAGCGAGTCGGGTGCTGAGTCGAGGGATGTCCGGGTGGGGTAGTCCGCCTTTGTCGTCTTGACGCGCTTCTTCTTATGCGCATCGTCACCGTCGGCATCGGTCGGTGCCTCCTCAGCAGCCGACGTGTTGCCGTCCGTCAGTTGCGACTTGCGTGGACGGCCGCGTGGGCGGCCGGTGGGCACTCGTACCCGTGAGCGGGAGCGTGGTGGCCGGGCAGGACGTGCTGGCCGGCTGTTCGTCTCAGACGGCGGGGTGGAGGCCGACATGACTTCGTCGTTTGCTATGGCAATTGGTGGCGGTGAAACCGACGGGAAGTCAGATCTAGGCTGCTGCTGCTGCTGCTGCTGTGACGAATGCGGTGCGAGTGGTGGAGGGCCAGCACGGACAGGAGGATGAGAGGGAGCGACGGCGGATTTGGAGGACTGGCGCGAGTTTGGCCGTGAGCCGGGCCGCGACATAGCACGGGGCCCCATGTCAAAGGAGCCAGCAGCCATGCCCGTGGGCATGCTGGGCGGATAGGCAGACATGTCGGGGAGCACTGGGGCCAGGCTCGGCGACTGCATGGTCGATATGCTTGCAGACCGGCCGAGCATGGGGTTGGCCTGGAGGAAGGAGTTCCACTCGGAGGTGTCGGTGGGCGTCGGGGCGTTGTGCACCTGGCCGTGGCCCTGACCCTGGCCCTGGCTGGTGGCATTCATGCCGTTGCCGCTGCCCCGGTGGCCGCTGTTGCTGTCGGTGCGGGCCATGCGGGAGACCTCGGACAGCTTGAGGCGCACCTCGAGGGTCTCGCGCACGCCCTTGCCGAACAGGGCCATCATGTTCTTTGTGACGCGGCCGGTGACCATCTTGGGGCCCTCGTCAAACTGCTGGGCGGCCACGGCAGCGGCGGGGTCCATGACCCACGACAGCATGCCCTGGCCGACCAGGGGCGTGTCGGGCTCGGAGTAGTCGACGGCGTAGATGGCGTAGTCCAGGACGGTCTGGGACGCGAGCTCGGGGCTGCCTTGGGCAATAGCCTGGATGCAGAGGCGGAGGTCGACGATGCCGATCCAGCTCTGCTCGTCGAGCGGCACGACCTGGACCTGCAGGGTGTGGGGCCAGCGGGCGAGGCAGTTGACGCGGCTGTCCTTGTCGAAGGTGTAGAGAACTTTCACTGCGAACGGAGTCAGTCGACCGTCACCCATCACGAGATGCTTTGAAAGGCTGATGCAAAACAAAAACAGAGAAAACAGGCACAAGACCAAGAACGTACAGGCCATTGGCCGCACTTGCATGCCCATCTCGTCGGCGTCGTTAGCAGGCATGGGGCCCTGCGGCTGCTGGTTCGGCGGTGCCGGCGGCCAGCCATAGGCGGCCGGGCTGCCAGTTGTCATGGGCGACGCCATGGTCTGGGAGGTCGACTTCAGCAGAACGATGCTGGCGGGCAGTGCGTTTCCATGGACGAGCAGCGATGCGTACAGTCGAGGGGTCTGCGGCGGTACGACGTGTCGTCAGAAGAGAGACGAGGGGCAAGACACTGGGAGTGTGGGTAGAGTGAGGGGAGGGACGAGAGAAAAGACAAGAGGAAGACGAGCGAAGATCGTGAGATGTGACAACGAGACAAGAAAAGGAGGTCGAAGTCGGTATGATGGGATCGTGGGCGGAAGAAGAAAATCGACGACAGCAACAATGCGAAACGAAAAAAAAAGAAAAGAAGAACCAGCAAAGAGACGGCGGGTTCGCGAGGGCCACGGTGCGGAGCGTGGTCCAATTGCTCGTCACGAGTGGAATTCAAGAGGCTGGACGTGTCGACGCTTTTTGGCCGTTTTGCTGGCAGCGGGTGCAGTGCGCGTGAAGTACGCGTCGAGACCTGCTGTGGTGCTCACGGCCGGGCGCTAAATTGGGGTGGAGCGCTGGGTGTCTGTTGTGGGGCAGAGGGCAATCGCTCTGAGACGTGGTTTCCGCGGCAGAGGCACGGGCCCAGCGCAAATGCGTGCAAGGGAGGAAAGAGCGACAGGGAAGTGGAGGCAGAAGAAGGGGCCGGTAAAATGAACGAGAGGGCGGGAAGGTGCGATGCCAACTTGGGAAGTTCTCAAAAGAGAAGCAGCGACACACGAGCAAAGATCGTGTACGATGTACGCAAAACACGCGCGAGCTGTCAGACAACAAAGCGGTCGAGCCGATCGGTGGAGTGCATGCGCCGGTGAACAGCGACTTTTGAAGTGGCCCCGGCCTGGGCCTAGCAGACGCGCTGGAACACGTGAACGCGCTGTGGTACACGGCAGCTGGCACGAATCCGGCGTGCTAAATGTGCTGCAGGAAGGAGTGGGGCATTGGAGACTGGCTACAGCGCCTGGGCCCCAAAACGTGAAGGACCCAAGGAGGGAAGGTGCGTTGGCGGCCGGGCAGGGCAATGGCGTAATGGCAGCTTGACGAGGTACAAGGGGAGCGCAGAACGGCAAGACTGCTGGTTGGATCGTCCTGTCGGTGGCTGGCGAATCATGGCTCGAGCTTCGAGGAGGCAGAGAGAAAGAGCAAACGAAGTGCGAAACTCGCTCTTTCCCCAGCCAAAACGGCACTTCGTCTTTTCCTTCCAAGAGGTGTCCAAAACCGAGGCGACCGGGGGGGTGAATGCAACTTGGCAAGGACACGAACAAGGAGCAAACAAAGAGGGAAAAGGATGTATTTCGCTCGTGGCCCTTGACGGAGGGGGCCGGGCATGGTATTTATACTCCCGGCGTCAGATCGCTGCGTTGTGCACGCCTTCCTCGTGCAACACTTCCCGATGCCGTTGGGTCTTTCCGTTTTTGGGATGTTGTTCATGCCTGGTCCTTCTTGCCTCCCATCCTCCCATCTTGTCTCATCGTTCGATGTCTCCCAACTCGGCCAGCCGCTCCTTCTCGGGTATGGCGCTTTCTGTGTACTTGCCTGTTGAGTCCTTTCGTTGCATGACTGTACAGTTTGAGTCCCCCAACCCATCTCCATCCTTACGACGCACTGTCTCACCCCACCTTTGCACACATTTGCTCCTGCCCCCCTTACACCGTCGATGCTGTTCGTTCGGATTACGCAGCCCGTGATCTCCGTAAACACCGATGGTAGTTGCCCACCGCTCGTGCCTTCCGACTTCTCCCCCACTTGCACCACACCACAGTAAAAAAAAAATGACGCTCTGATTTGCCGCCATTTTGCTCGCCCTATAGCCAACATCCAACGATGAGACTTTGTGATGCAAGCAGCCAACCCGATGATTTTTAGGCAACCGCCACCCCCGCTGTTCCCCCTTTCACCGCTTTTCGCCGCCATCTTGCCTTCTGTGACCCCAACAAACTGCCACACCGCACTGAATAAAAAAAAGAAGGCGCGATGCAGCCGTTCCCGACCGCCCACTTTCCCAAAACGACCATTTCGCCAATCACATAACACGATTTCGCGACGCTGGAGAAAAACGTGACTGCCACCTACGAGGCTGGCAAACTGCACATACATCCATTGAGCCACCCATTTTAAAAGTGAGGCTGAAACTGGACACAAATTGATAGGAAGTGACGATTTCACAGAACTCGCATCTCACGTACGTCGATTGTTTGCCCACCAACATGTGTGTTTTCTTCCACATCCTGTCGTGTTTTGTGATTGAATCTTTTTTTTTTTGTACAAGAGATCTATGCTCGCATTTTACTGTTCGTTGTGCATCACAAAATCCCCCGTCCTATTTGTGCACCTATGCATGCCTCTGTATGCGGTTTTATGCCTCGTCCAGCCAGACGGCCTCGCCCCGCTCGCCCTTGGTCGTCTTGCGCTCGATAATCTCCGTGACGACCTCCTTGACGCCCTGCTTGCCGCGGTACTGGCCGACAATCTGGTTGATGATCTCGCGCTGCGACTTGACGCCGTCGTTGACGAGCGCAGCCACGTGCGCCTCGCTCGGCAGGCCAATGTTGAGCTCGCCGTAGGGCCGCTCGCGGTAGTCGCGGGCGTTGAGCAGCCGCAGCGCGGGCGGGTCCTCGGCGCTCCGGTCGGGGGCAAAGTAGGGCTCCGTCAGGTTGTCCGACGCGGCAACGTCGTCGAGCGTCGACGGCTTCCACGCGGGGCGGCCCTTGTCCTTGCGGATCAGCAGCGACGAGACACCCTCGGTGAAGTCGGGCTGGCGCATGAAGCGCGACGCAATCAGGTGCTCGCGCTGGAACGTCTCGGCAATGCTCCAGCGGCCGCCGATGCGCATCTGGCGCAGGCTGACGTGCACGGCCGTGGGCGAGCGGTGCTGCAGCGTCTTGAGCGTCTTGGCGGCCCACGTGCGCGTGGCCTCGCCGGCCGCAGCGCCGGCCTCGCTCGCGCTCGCCCCCTCCCCCTCCAGGGGCGCCGACGCCTCGGCCTGCAGAGCCGCGACAATGTCGTTGACGCTGTCGTGGCCAAAGCAGCGGTCGATGGCGTTGCGCAGGCTGCCGGCCAGCAGAATGGGCTGGTCCCGGGGCAGGCCCGTGGTGAACTCCTCGATGGTGGCGTTGATGGTGGCGAGGCGCGTCTCGACGGGGTCGTAGTCGTGGAAGCGCAGCTCGGCCAGGCGTGCCTCGAGGCCGGGCAGGCTGGTGGAGTGCAGGTAGTGCGTGGCCAGGCCGGCGTAGAACACGTTGGCGCCCGTCAGGCGCTCGCTGGTCAGGGCCAGGTAGGTGCCGACGGCGCCCGGCAGGCGCGGCAAAAAGAACGAGCCGCCGACGTCCGGGAAGAAGCCAATGTTGGTCTCGGGCATGGCAAACACGGTACGCTCCGTGGCAATGCGGAAGGGCGCGTGGATGCTGAGGCCGACGCCGCCGCCCATTGTGATGCCGTCCATGAAGGCGACGTAGGGCTTGTCGTAGGTGGCAATCAGGTGGTCGAGCTTGTACTCGAGGGCAAAGTAGTCGGCCGACCACTGCTGGCCCTCGAGGCCGCGCTGGTTGGCCTCGGCCAGGGCCGTGACGTCGCCGCCGGCACAAAAGGCCTTGTCGCCCGCGCCCTTCATCACAATGATGTTGGCCATGTCCGACTTGGCCCACTCCTGCAGGCGGGGGCCGATCTTGCGGATCATGGACGCGTTGAGCGAGTTGTACTTGCGCGGCCGGTTCAGCTCGATCGTGCGCAGGCCGTACAGGCTGGTGAACAGCACATCCTCGGGCTCGTCGCCCGGCTGCTCCTTCCAGAGCCGGTCCGACACATCAGTCGCCGCAGAGACCGGTGCCGAGGCAACCGTCGCCATGGTGCGGGCAGAGGGCGACGCCGGCGCCAGGATCTTGGCACGAAGCGGCATAGAAGAGGACGAGAGGGAGGACTGGCGTGAGGAGAGGGACGCGGAGCGGAGGGAGGACGATGGGGAGGACGAGGAGGACGAGATAGACGAGAGTGTCGTCAACGTGCGGCAGGCAGTGGCTGTAGGGCCAGCGCGGCGGAAAAGCGTCCGGGACAACATGGGCTCAGGGTATCGGTGGACAATCGACAGGTGGTAGACGAGACGACAAGACGAGATGTCAAAACGAGATTCTTCGAGTCGTCTCCCGTCTTCAGTCTTCAGACCGTCGGGGCAATTCGCACTTCGCAGTTCGCAATTGGCGCTTGCAGCAGCTGCCTGGTCGTAGAGGGCGTCGCTCTCGCTGGTGAGTTATAGCGAGGATCAGCGTGGGTGCCGAGCGTCGCGTGCGTGGGTTGTGTCGGCAATAGTTTTCCCTCGGCCACTGACGTGGAGCATCCAGAGCCGCTGGCACTGGATGGCCGAAGAAAAAGCTTCACCCGAGGTCGTGGGACCCACCTGACAGAGCTTGGGCCAATGGGGTTTTATACAGTGCGAAATACGTATGCACCACGTATTGTTACTGTTTATTTACACTGTACGTCTCATTCACCTACCTCCTTTCTCCTTTGATTTTCCAACGTGAACCGGTCGACGTAAATGTTTCTAATCATCATGTTGATTTTGTTTCTTTCCCTTAATTTGTGGTTTTATCCTTCACATGGCGGGCTAAACAATCTGTATAAAATACACTGGACATCATCCCCCAGCCTCACTCTGCCAGCCCTTCAAAGAAGCAGGCCAGGCCCCATGCACCTGGGTCAGGCACCTTCTCGAAGCCGCTGCCGCCGACGTATACCGTGCGGCCCAGGCTGGCCTTCATGCCCTTGGTGTGCTCGGCACCCGCGCGCGACGCCGCCGCAGCATCGGCCACCGAGCTGCCCGACGCGGCCAGCTTGTCGACAAACGGGTAGAGAGCATCGACGAGGGTGCGGTCGCCGGGGCGGGCGGGCGTGTACCGCGAAAGCGTGTCGCAGCTATGGCGCAGAGCGGCCGCCCAGTCGGGCGCCGTCGAGCCCGATGCCGCCGCAGACTGCTGGCGCAGCGCGTGCACGAGCGCGTTGAGGAAGATGGCGTAGAGCGCGCCCGACGTGCCGTCCATGGAGCGCTCGACGACGGGGACGATGCCGGCCACGTCTGCCACCACGTCGCCCGTCAGCGGCGCGGATGACAGGTGCTCGAGGATGGCCTCGGCGCCGCGCTTCATGCCCGTGCCGCAGTCGCCATCGCCAACCACCGTGTCGTACTGCGTAATCTCCGGCTCCGCCGCAATCACGCGCTGCAGGCCGCGCTGCAGGGCTCGGCTGTATGCCGCGCCGTCCGCCTTGAGGTTGCTGGGCGCCGTGCCGGAGGCCGCGTCCACCGCAGCAGCCGATGCAGCCGACGCAGCCGATGCCTTGTCGTCCGGTGTCGCCTTGGCGGCCGCGTCCCAGGTTGCGGCCGGGATGGGTGACGACCAGCCCGTGGCCTCGGCCGGGTCATCGAGCAGCTGCAGCAGGGACGGCACGTCGGCGCCCAGGCCCGTGTCACGCGGCACCTTGAGCAGGCTGATGCTGAAGCCTAGGCCGTTGAGGCTTGTCATGTACGTGCCGCTCAGCACGCGCCGCGGGCGCAGCTTGTAGTCGTCGCGCAGCTGCTCGACCACCTCGGCTGCTATGCCGCCCATCTCGAGCACGCTGACGGCACCCAGGTTGTTGACGAGCAGCACCACGTCCTCGCCCTCGCCAATCGACGCAAACGCCCGGTCGCTGTCCTTGGCGTCCAGCAGCTGCCGCAGCATCGTGCGCACCAACGCCGGCAGCGCCAGGCCCTTGGCCCGCTCCGAGCCGGGCTCGTTGTGGATGCCCATGCCAATCTCCACCTCGTCCGCCGCCAGCGCGTCGTCTGCCGTGTCCGTCACCGACCGGCCCGGCACGTGCACATGCTCCAGGCTGGCGCCCACGCTCACGAGGTTGTCGGCCACCAGCTGGGCGACGCCCGCGACCTTGTCGAGGGCAAAGCCGCGCGCTGCCAGCGCGCCGCTGATCTTGTGCACGAGCACCGTGCCCGCAATGCCGCGACGGCCGACCTTGCCCGCCTTGGCCCGGCCCACGCCCACGTCGTCGCCCACGACCACCATGCGGACGGGCACGCCCGCGGCGCGTGCCTTCTCGACAGCCATGCCAAAGTTGAGCACGTCGCCCGTGTAGTTCATGACCGTCACGAGGACGCCGGCGTTGTGGCCGGCGGCGGCCGAACGCGAGGCGAGCAGCGTGATGGCCGTGCGGATCTGCTCGGCGGACGGCGAGGCAAAGATGGTGCCTGCAACGGCACCCGTCAGCAGGCCCGGGCCGACCATGGCGCCGAAGCTGGGCTCATGGCCGGAGCCGCCGCCCGAGACAATGGAGACATTGGGCGAGGTGGCACGCTCGTAGAGGATCTTGTTGGCCTCGTCGAGGGCGACGGCCGGGTTGGCGTAAGTGACCGAGCGCAGGCCGGCGTGGACGAGGGCCGTCGGGTCGTTGACAAAGTGCTTGGCGAGGGAAGCCATGGTAAAGTGAGTTGTAGTACCCTAAGAACTGTAAGAGACTGTAGGGAAACTGTAAAATTGGCGTGAGTATAGTGACTCCAGGCGATCTCGCGATGTGTTGAAAGAAGGGGAGGAGACGGCCTACAAAATTAAAGGCGGAAGAAAGATGGACGAGACAAGACGAGAAGAAACAGGACAGAAAACGAAGCGAAAAGGGCCGGCTTCGGGGATGACAAGGGAGACGAAGAACGCAGCCCACGATAAATGCACAGGAGTATGACAATCCACACTGCGGAGCTATCGTGCCGGAATGACTTCATTCGGGAACATGGCACTGCCTGAAGCTCACCTTCGGACCACGAGGAAGCTACGACCTGCAGAGCTTGGGGCACTGCGCAGGGCCAGGCACTATGTGGGCGGGGGTGGGGTACCGCTGATGGTGTTCTGTGTCTTGGGAAGGAGCGACAGGCTCCAGACGTTAGGTGTTTTTTATTTTGTGGTGCGGAGTAGCCAGACTGGGGAAGAATGCCACCAAGGAAAGAGCGACCTGCAGCGTGAGCTTTCCGTTAGCAGCACGCTGGGTCACGCAAGTCGCACCGGGGGAAAGACGCTTGGGCGGAAAACGGAATAGTTTTCGGGGGAGGAGCGACCAAGCGAGCGCCAAAACACCGAAACGACCGAACAAAATGGGGAAGGAACACCGAAAGACCGAATATCTAGGGTCCCGACGAGGCCGATTTTATGTCGATGGAATGATGGTACAACGAATTACCACGTACGATATCGGACAATGCCATCGGAGAAAGAGAGCAACATGTAATACAGAAAGAAGTCGATTGATATTTCCTAACGCCGTCGCCATGCTGAGGGAATCAATCCCTGGTCATAAAAAGCAAATATCCGGTCTTATGTCACCGTTTCTGCCTTTGTGGGCTGCTCGCACCAAACAACTTGCTAGACTTCACGTCCCCACATCCAGAACACCCCCTATTTCAACACAAACACACTGCCGCCCAAAATCGAAAAGACAATTGCCGTCGTCGCAAAGCCCGCGGCCACGCGGTCACCCGTCGTGATGGGCTTCAGCGTCAGCGCCGTCGACGGCTTGGTGCCGGCGTTGGGGTTGCCCACCGACGTGCCGCCCGACGACGACGTCACCGCCGCCGCCGTCGTGGGGTGCACCAAGGAATACATGAGCGCCGACAGCGCGTTCATCTGCTCGCCCACGCCCACCAGCCCGTCGAACCCGCCCGTCGTCCACTTGAAACCGCACGCCGTGCCGGCCATGCCTTTGAACCCAGACGCGGGCGACCCCGTGCACGCCAGCGCCGCGGCAGCCGCGTTGGCCTGCAGCAGCGGCGTGACGGTCGGGAACAGGTACGGAGCCATCTGCGCAGCGCCTGAGAGCCAGCGCAGCATGTAGCCTTTGAAGCTCTGCTGGTCGTTGTCGCACAGCTGCACCGTCTCGCAGGCCTGCTCCACGAGAATGTTGCTGCCGTTTGTAAAGAAGTGGCCCGTGGTCGCCGCCAGCAGGCTGTCGAGGCGTGTCTTCCACGTGGCCGAGTCCTCGGTGATGTTGTACATGATGGCCGCGCCGTGCAAAAAGATGCCGGCGTTGTACGACCACTGGAAGGTGTCCGGGTTCGTGCAGTTCTGTGGCGAGTCGGTGGCGCCGTCCAAGATCCGGTAGTCGGACGTGATCAGACCGACGCCCGTCTCCCAGTCCCAAATCTTCTCTGCCCAGTCGGCATACGTCTGGTTGCCCGTGTACCGGGCCAGGCGCGCGGCAATGTTGAAGAAACAGCCGTTGGCAATCGAGTTCTTGTAGTCGAAGCCGTTGTTGAACTGGAAGATTTGCCAGCGCAGGCCGCCGTTGCACGTCGTCGTGTCCCAGCGTGTGGCATACTGGTTAAACACGGCCTGGGCCAGCGCGAGCCACTGCGGCTTGTCGGATGGCGGGTTGGGGTAGTTGTTCTCGGCGGCCGACATGGCAGCCATGCCCCAGAAACCCTGGTCGTCGTTGCCTTCGGTCCGTGTCTGGTTGATGGGCATGTAGTCGTTGTTGTCGCCCACCTGGTGCAGCATGGCCTCTGTGGTGATGTTGTTGTACGTATCGTCACCCGTCAGGAACCAGTAGTCGATGAGCGTGCCGAACATGGCGCCGGCTTCCCACCAGAAGTACGGCGAGGGCAGGTTGCCTGGCGTATCGCCTGTGTTGTTGCCGGTATAGTACTTGACGAGACCGTAGGCCACGGTGCTGGCAGCCTCTTTGACGGAATCTACCTTGTTAGAGACGCCCAGTAGACCGTTAGGCTGTGCATATGTCACCTAAGGACGACTTACTGGTATCAGAGAGCGTGACCTGCAGGGCATTTGCTGCTTGGGACAGCAGGCAGGTAGCCCCTGCTATGCGGAGGGTAGAGAACCGCATGATGTGAGTTGGGAGTGTCAAGGTAAAGGTATAAGTCGCTAAGAAAAATCGACAACAGCAAAGAAGAGAACCGGTCGGAGAAGAAACAAAGTCTCGTCCAGGAGCGAGGAAAAGAAAATAGTCAAAGATGATATCAACAATGAAGGGATACCGGCCGATATATGGTAAAAGATAAAACTCGTCAGTGGCGAAGTTGCGGCGTCGAATGGCTCGTGTTTTGTAGGAGGCTCCGAGATACGAGAGCTGGACAATATGACCAGCAAATTAAAGACGTTGGAAGACACACTGAAAGCAATCCAAAGAGGCTCAGCCAAGAAAGAAACAAAGGGACTATAAAGAAAAGCGAAGCGTAGAGTAGAGAGATCCTGTTGCCAGTTAAAGTAAAAGAGTCGAAAGAAAAGGGGGAGAACTCGGAGAAAATCAAAGAAACTGTTGTGAAAAGATGTGAATAAGAATGTGAAAATGGAAAACAAAAAAGCCAACTGGGGCGTCGTCTCACACTTGGCGAGGAAAAGAATAGACAAAAAGGCAATGAGAAGCGAACAAAAATAACCAAAACTGAGGGCGATGATGAAGAAGACGGATGAACAAAAAGAAAGGGAGAAGAAGAGAGACAAGAGACGATCAAGAAAATCAGAAAAGAAACCAAACAAGCCAAACACACAAACACCCAAAGAGGAGGCACCCACGACACCCGCGACTTGCCAGCCCTGGACCAAACGCCTCCCCCGGCCACCCGCTGGCCTGGCCTTGCGTCTGGGCCCTGCACCGAGTATCACACAGCGCGCGTGCTGCAGTCTGGCTGGCCATTCGTGGTTGACCCGTTCTCCGTCGTGGAGGCTGTGTTGGCCGGCAGCCAAACCACCTGAAACACTTTGAGTTGGATGTTAAGCAATGCCCCCCGGTTCGTCGAACAAAAGGGGTCCGTCCATGTCTGCGACGCTCGCTAGACAAGGCAACGTGTTGGCATGTTGGTCGTATTCCATGCTCTTTGTCCTCTTCTTCACTCACTTAATTTGATTTTGAGTCTTGTGTGTTTTGTCTGGTATTTCTGTCATCTCGTCTCCTGCGCACCTTCCCACATTGTCCCTTTGTTGAATTGACGCCGAAAAGGGAAAGGGCCAACCTGCCCTGGTTAAAGGCCGCCATCGCCCGCCAGCCCCCTGGTCTCACATTCAGTGACACATCGACAGCCAATCAACCCTCTTGGAATGCGCTGTAACACTGCCGCCGCCACTCGCTGCGCCCAAAGACCGAGACCAATGGCGCTTCTGCCATCTCGCACCAAGTAACACATCTCGTATGCTCTCACTCGTCATGGTCTACGTTTGCCTCTTCATCTTCAGGTCGTGGTCGGCCGTACCGCGTTTCTGCCCGGTTGCCAACAGTACAATGTTGACGGTGACATATCCCTGTCTATTTTCGATAACGGTGCAAATAGCTCTCCGTGTACAATATACCCCGCATATTCCTAGATGCACAGCATTAAATATAAGTACCTTTACAAGACACTGCTTCACAAATCAACCACGGTTTCGGATATGGTCCCAGCCTCTCGATCTCGCTCTCGCCTCGCCCAAACGGCCACTGCTGCTGGTTTTGCATAACAGCTGATCCCTGGCGATCCGAGACGTGGAATGGCGGAAGGATGTACCTTAATTACAAAAATATCTCTGCCACTGCAGCGTGCCATTTTGTCAGCATTGATTCTACTGTTATTCTGGCCCTTTTGTTTTCGCTGACTTGGCACCGCCATCCGAACACTCCGTCATGTGAGCTGTAAGACAAAGTCAGGCGCATGGGCGTCAGTCGACTTTTGTTAAGTGTGCCATTCGTGAACTTCGTGTGATATCGGTTCTATATCGAGAACAGCATATGCAGTGTCAAACGACCCCAAAATCCAAATGAAAATGGGTGCTCTTGCCAACGTGGTGGCCATAGAGTCCTCGCCGATTTTCCGCTTTTGTATAAACCGAAACAAAAACGCCACATAACGCCGAGACCAAAAGACCAAACGACCAAATACGATATGCCGACAACAAGAGACGAGCCGTCATTAAAGACACCAAGAGAGTGCAGAGACTGTGGTCAAACAGTTGGTCACAGAATGTCGTCGTCGTTGGCCAGCGCGGCCAGTGGCACCGACGCCGGGATCGACTGCGCGGCCGTTGCCTCGTCCATGTTTGCGTCCAGGCCCTCGTCGTCGTCACCGTAGAACGCACGCACCGCCTCATCACCACTGTCAACGTCTTCGAAGCCGTCGTCCTCGTCCTCGTCGTCATCGTCACCGCTGGCGAGCGCGCCAAACATGCCCAGCTGCTGCTTCTTCTTGCCGGCCAAGCCTACCTCGCGCTCCGCCGCCTTATTGATCTCCGTCCACTCCTTGCTCCGGCTCTGGATCGTCCGTGCGCTCGACTTGCTGCGCTGCACCTTTTGCGCGGTGCGCTCCATCACCGCCGCCGCCATGTCCAGGCCGCGCTCCTGCCGTCGCCGTGCCTTGGCGCTCAGCACGGCCTTGCGGCCCTGCTTCTTGACCCGCTTCGAGACACCCGCCGCTTGGTGAATGCCCAGGATTGACGGCCGGAAGTCGACCGATGTTTGCGGCGGCTTGGCGTTCTTCAGCGACTTGTCGAGGTCGATGCCCGGCGAGGTAGCCCGACGGGCTTCGCGGGAGTGTTTTGAGGGAGCTGGAGTGGCGGAGTGGCGTTAGAAGAAAGAAATATCTTGTAGAAATCAGACACGTCCTACGGAGACGAGCAGAGCAAATTGTCCCATATCTTCGAGTACACACCTTTTTTGCCCATGTCTTCTGGTTTGCTGGTCGGTATGCTGTGGTTTGTTCACCGACACTGTGATTTTTCTTAGGCGTTCTTGAGCGACGTTTTCTGCCAATTCCAACTTTTTGGTGGGGAAATGGGAGACATAAAAATTCTGCCGTTATCCACCGCCTCCTTATCGCCTCTCCGGCCGTTTTATCAGCGGTCTAATATAGCAGGCGCCCCGTGCCTCGCGATTCCATCACATGCAACGTTGTCGTAATCTGCTTTCTGTCTGTTTGCCTCCCGCCGCCATCGTCGCGTTTACTCGACAAGGAAATACCAGCACCTTTCAGATGCCCGTTGCGCCGCACACCGACATCACGAAAACGACAGTCCACATTCATAGCTGCGGCCAGCATTACAATCGTTTTTCGCTCGCTCCTTCCTCACTCCGACACCGAACACAAGTTCGCGCCTTCCCAACAAGTTTGCGCATCCCCGTCGTCGTCCTCCTTCCCGGCCATGGCCGTTGACCAGGGTGACAACCTGGCTCTTTCCTTTGCTCTTCTTTCTTGACAGGCTCCTTCTTTTATCTCCTTCTCCTTTCAAAGTAGCACGCGTCTCGACCACTCTTGCATGCCTCATCTCCACTGCTGGCCGGTGAACCACCTATTTTGTTACGTCTTGCTCTGCATCTACGCCCATCCCGACAAAGGTCCTGCCACCCAGCCACTATGAATGTACACGACGAGTGGTTCGCGAACTCTGGCGCCCGGTCCGATCACTTCCATGCCCACACCAGCCCGCGCCACGCCCGAACGTCGCCGTCGTCGTCCTTCTACGCCGAGCCGACATTGCTTTGGAACCGTCTCATCGAACCCAGTATCCTTGTGCCCTGTCTCGTTCTTCTCGCATCCATCCTTTTCAGTGCTAGCATCCTCGACGTCGTCGTCGCGACCTTATCCGCATTCATACCCGCCGGTCTCCGCCACCACCTCTGGGACGCCGTCGTCACTGTGGCACCCGCATCAGCGATCTTTGCTATCGACGACTGGCTCAGCCCGTTCCCCGTCCCGCGCCAACCTTTTGACCGCCTTGGCCCTGCCGCGGCCCACGACGCAAAGAGTGCAGCGCTCGCCCGCGTCCTTGGACTTGGCCCTGGCGGCCGGCGGTTCAGCCCCCAAAACAGTGCGAGCGGCAGCAGCAGTGGCGGTGGCGTTGGCGGTGCCGGCGGCTTGCTTGCATCTGTGACGCACGCCGGCAAGACGGGCTTCTCGCGCCTCATGCCCAAACGCAATATGGACCAGCCCGCGGGGCTAGGAAACATTAGCAACTCCTGCTACCAGAACAGTGTCCTGCAAGCGCTCTCCGCCCTCGAGCCGCTGCGCCAGTTTCTCAGCCGGGTCGCCGACGAAGAGGCTGCCGGCCACCTGTCCTCTGTGCCGGCGGCCCACACACTCGACGCATTGGTACGGACACTGTCCACGGAGGCGGGCAACGGCGAGACATTCTGGACGCCACCCGCACTCAAGCGGATGAACACATTCCAACAGCAAGACGCACAGGAATACTTTTGCAAGCTGCTCAGCGAGGTCGAGGAGGAAGTCCAGAAGGCGCTCAAGGCTGTGCGGGCCAAACGGGGCCTCGAGTCCAATCTGAACCTTAACGTGGGTCTAGAAGCGCCGTCCGTCCTGGGCCTCCCACCAAAAGAGCAAGCCAATGAAGAGACCAACGAAGCAACAACGTGCCGCACATCCCCCACGCCAGCGGACAGTACTAACAGCAGCAGCAGCAGCAGCAGCAGCTTGTTCAGCGACGACAGTGGCTACAACAGCGCCTCAACTGCATGGTCCCCCTCCACTGCCTCTCAAGCAGCAGCCATCGCTGCCGCGTTCCGCATTCCACTCGAGGGACTGCTCGCACAGCGGATTGTCTGCCAGTCGTGCGGCTATTCGTCCGGCTTGTCCATGAGCCCCTTTTACTCGATCACGGTCAACCCGGACGTTGGCAGCGCCGAGTATTATCTCGAAGAAACATTGGATAACTTCACGGCTGTCGAGAACATCGAGGGCGTGCAGTGCGCCAGCTGCACCCTGCTCAAATTCCAGCGACTGATCAAGACGCTGATTGAACGCTTCGAGAAGAGCGAAGCCCAAGAGGCGGCGGAGAAAGTGGAGGGTTCAGGGCTGGAAGAAGGGACGACAGTGCCGCGTAAGAGCAACCCGATCCCATACGAACGACTGGCGGCTGTCGAAGCGGCTCTAGAAGACGAGGACTTTGAAGAGAAGACGCTCGCGGACAAGTGTAAGATTCCGGACAAGCAGCGTGTGCAATCCACAAAGTCGCGGCAGGTGGGCATCGCCCGCGCCCCGGCCAGCATTGCCTTTCACATCAACCGCTCGCGCTTCGACGAGCGCACCGGCTACACATTCAAGAATCCAGCGGCGATCCGCTTCCCACTGCGACTCGACCTGGGCCCCTGGTGTCTGGGGAGCGCAGCGTCCGCCGCCTCCCGTCTCAGTATGCTTTCGTCTCCGACCGGCATTGGAAAAGGCCAAGACGCGGAGTCTTCTGAGCCTGGCGACGATGCAGAGCAGTGGCAGCTGCCTGCGCAGTTACCCATGGTGGCCGGGTCACAGCACAATCCAAGGCTCGAAGGCCCGCTCTACGAGCTCCGTGCGGTGATTACACACTACGGCCAACACGAGAACGGCCATTACGTCTGCTACCGGAAGCACCCTGCACGAAAGGAGGATGCGGAACAGCAGCCTCGACAAGCCGCAGACGACACCGATAAGGAGGACCAGGAGGATGCAGCTATGACCGATATGACGGACACGGATAACGACGACAGCCGCAGCAGCCTAGCTGATGACGAAGCAACACTGCGTGCGACATCCGAAGATCTTGTAGACGACGATAAGACGATTGTCGACGACGATGCCCCTGACGGTGGCGACAACAACGCCAGCGCCGACACGTACATGTCCGCCTTCGATGAGGACGAAAGGAAAGACGACGGAGCGTGGTGGCGGCTGAGCGACCAGAACGTGTACCGCTCCGACGAGGCTACCGTGCTGTCGCAGGGCGGCGTGTTTATGCTGTTTTACGACAGGATCGACGCGCGATCCGTCTTCCACCCAGCCGGCAAGAAGAAGCCGCTGTCGAGCCTTTACAGGATGGCCAACGATGTGAACAGTGAAGACACCTTCCATACCTTCCCGGTCCAGGCTGTGGGCGGCCAAAGGAAACAGAGCAGCCCGCCTGCCGCCGACGATCAATCGACCAACAGCAGTGGCGATCGATCATCGGACGAGGACATGAGCGACGAGTCGACCTCGACAGTGGACTCATCTCCATCGTCATCATCGACAGAGGGGCCGCTTACGCCAGACGACGTGTCTGCTAAGAAACCAGTTGATGGCGCGAGAGTAAGGCCGGTGATGGCGGCCGAAGCGTGAACGCGGCCGCAGGCGGCGGGCGATGTCACGTTTGTCTGTTTTCTTTTTTATGGAATATGTTTATGGCAGCAGAATTTTCAGCATTTTGTCTGCACCGCATCAGGGCATCATTATCGTGTCCCCCCAACAAGCGCAGGCGTCTCTGGAGCTCCATCATGGGTTTGGCACGCCGTTTTGTAGTATTTCGTTCTTTGTCTTTTCGTGTGAAGTTGGTGCTTTCACTTTACTTTTATCTGTGTTTATAATCACACAATACAAATACGAATAGCATCATAACATCAGGCGGGAAATATCTCTATATTCATTATCGTCCAACAGTTGTCTTAAACAAAACACCTTGTTCCCTTTCCGGTCCAATTGTCCCCCAAAACGTGGTTGAAGAAGTGCTTGTCGGCGACAAAAAAAAGTTTGGAAAGAAAAAATTCTGCCGCTGTGGATCGTGACGAACTGACGCGTTTAGCGGGCGACACCCAGCTTTTTAGTGGATACCTCCAGGGCGGTCAGAGCTGTCGCCCCAGCGGTTTCGTCGAAAATTTTGCAGCACGCTCTCGCACGGACCAGGCACCAGCAACTATATAACGTCGCCTTGCCCGCCTCTCCTTTCTAAATCTTTCTTTCTTCTTTTTTTTTCCTCATGTCGACAATACTTCAGAGAATCATTTCTATAGTTATTGTCCTCTTCTTGGTTCCTAAAAAGAGCCACAGATCCCAACCGGGTTGATGACTTTTATATCCTCGACTGGCCCAATTTCTTCGCGAAAACGCTTCTTGGGGGTTTAGCCACCCCCATCTTTTGACCCTCGCTCTGCCTGCAAAGGCGGCGGCCCAGGAAGCTCAACAGAGAATGCCGCAGTCTTCGGACGGCGGCCTCTTCTCTGGTTTCCAGGGGCTGTATTCAGAGGGTGGTGATGAGCTATACCCTGGACTGGAGGTCTTGTCTTGCTTTTGCGAGCGCTCTGCCAGGGTGGGTGTCGATGGACGTCTGACCGGCCAACGCTTTTTTTTGTTTCTCTTTTTCATTGTGCTCTTGGGCTTGCCCGCGATGCGAGGAAGAAGTGTTTGGTGTTGCCTGCGATTCAAAGTAGTGAGCGATTGTAAGGATGGATGGAGACGTTGATTTGGGTTCGAGAAAACCGATGCATATTGGATGTGTTAGTAAAGAACTCGCTCCATCGTGACTACCGCAGAAGTGAACCGAATGACTCGTGATCTCGTGATGCGTCGATCGTTCTTGCCACCGGGCGTGTGTCTGTTTAGCGTGACTCAAGTGAACTCCATACCGCGTAAATCACAGTGACTACACGAGAAACGGAAGCTCATTCCATGTCAACCTTACGTCGTCCTCGGTAGGCAGGCACGACCGACGACATGAAGTTTGCTTCCTTCGGCTGCGAATCTTGGATGGGCTAGGCAGACAAGGTCACGTGTCGTACCTTTGTTGTCGTGCAAACGAGCACGGCGCTCACCACTGGACGACCTGCGAAAAAATTTTGCAGGCTCGCACGGACCATTGCGCCCCTGCCCCAGCCTAGCCAGCACTATTTAAATCCCGCCGGGCACCCGCACCCCCCTCCAGCATAGCTGGATTCTTTTCTTCTCTTTTCCTCCTTTCTTCCCTATCCTAGTGCAAGGGCAGTACGCATTCAGTGAGGATTCGTCCGAGAGTGTGTTTTTGCTGGTTGAAAACTATACCTTGACCACTTCTATTGGGCCTCTGGCCCGGTAGGGAATTTTTGGCAAAAACACGTTTCGTCCTCTCGGGGATGGATTCCTTTCTTTTCATTGCAGCCGTTTCTTGACGAAGCGACGCGAGGGAGAGCAAATCACAAGTGGTGAAGGAGAAGGCAGTGTGAGGGCTGAGGACTGCTGCTGACAGCTCGACACGGTGGAATATGCACCACCAATCCCTTCTACGAATCACCGTCAAGAAGCAAAGGCTGCCACCTGCCTGACGGGGCGAAGCAGTCGCGACGTGGCAGACGTGACCGACGCGTCGCAGCCCAACTATAATGAACATCCATCTCACCGCTCTCTATCGATCTACGACAGCTTGGCATTTGGGGTCGCCGCAGTCTTCTTCGGATAACAAGCAATGGGCGGCTCTTCATCTACTGGCTGCGTTTCGACTGGAGCAGTGCTGCTCGGCCTCGGCCTCGGCCTCGGTCTTTGTTTATTCTGGCTTTTCATGAACATCGTGGCTCGCGCAAACGACCACTGCACTACACGCGTAGAAATAACAAAACCTTGTGGGTCGTCGTCTGGTAACACATACAACACCTCTCTCTACATGCAATTCGTGTCATAGACGCACTCCAGTACTGTATCAGCTGACTGCTCATCACAACCGATTTATCACAATCGATTTGCCAACCTCGTCGTGCGCTACTGGATGTGAGATCACGTGCAACTATCAACGCCCTCTGCAATGCATAGTAATTGCTCCGTATCTTACAGACTGCTACCGTTTCATGCACATGTCTCGTCCTCGCGCATTGCCCCGCAACATACGACATAGAGGCACCGCTATTGTAATGCTCGTTACCGTCGCACTCGACGGCTTGTCCTGCACGGTTTCGTCCCAAGATACTGACGCTGTAGTGAGTGGCCAGGCACATGTGCCATTATGCGTCCCAGCTTCCTCAGTCGCTCCTTTGTTGCCTCCGCTGTGTCACTTCGGAAGGCGCCAACGGCAGGCCTCAAAGAGCAAGTAGCGAATCAAGCAATACGACGAACGTCTGCATTTTTCCATAGATAAAGCAGCAAGGCCTCGTTGAGCTGGCCTCGCACGGCGGCGGCAACCATAAAACCTTCTGAATCGCAGCTGTCCCAAGTCACTAAATGCGTAATAAATCGTTGCTGCGACATCTCAGCTAGTACCCGTATCGCTCTGCTCTACAGTTCCACGGGAGGCGTGAGACCGCAGCCTGTAGTGCTGTTTGTTCCTTCCTCAACACCTGCATCGTGCCTGCTTTCTCCGATTGGCTGCGCTGCGTGACGGAGCATCCCTACCGTGCTCATACGGTATTCGCACAGGTCTGGGTACTCCAGTTGCCCACACAACACACGTGCCACTGAAGGTTTCTCTGGCCGTATGACCAACCCAGCGGCACCACGACCCTGCACCAGACACGCCCTGACGCCCTCACGCCCATCCCTCTTCCCTCCGTTCTCTTTCCAGCGCTGTCGCCTCGCTCTTTCTGTCTCGGCTCCCTGTCTGCCCTGTGTGTCTGTTCATACACCCACGCTCACCCCCCCTCCCCCTTCCCTTCAGTACGCTCCTTCCGCCCCGTCTCGCGCTCAGTCCACCGTCCACCACCACCTGCCGCCCGCCTTTCTGCTCTTTCCCCCTGCCAGACAAACCGTCAGGAAGGGCGAAACTTAATCATCACTGACTTCATTTCCCCCTGCCAACTTTTTCCTCTCTCTTCTCCCTCCGACATCTCCAGCCCCGATTTCCTATCGGCCACCGCAGACAACGAGCTCACGCCTTTTCGACATCCTTTTTTGCTCGATCCGCTGACACTGCCGACACCGACCCGACGACTCCGATCGCCTGCTGTTTTCTCGCATCGCTTTTGTTGTGTCGCCACACAGTCTCTCTCCGACGACCATTTCTCACCCTCAGTCCCTCAATCCTTCACTCTCACGATCACGACTTTTACGACCTCCCGGCAATCGAAGACAAAGGGCGACCAGGCCACATTGTCCGTCTCGCTGTCGACTCTTCTTTTTTTTTGCCATCTCTGTCTTGTCAACATACGGCTGCGAACACCGTATTCTTGCGACCTTTTGTTTCATTCGGCATCGGCTTGCCCTCGACTCCCAGCAACGGACATCGCATCACCGTCGCTCCATCCGCCCGCCTCCTTCTGCCTCTCGCGACCCATCCATCGAATCGCGTGCTCTCTCTTTTTCTCGTTTTGATCGCCGTTGGATTCTGAGGCCACCCCGGTGCCTCCCAACCGCTCCCTCTGGCGCTGTTCTGGTAGCCGGCCGTCCGCCTCTCCGGCGTGGCGATTGCGCATCTGTTCGCTCGCGTCGCTCCATCGACCCATCGTCTTCGTCGGGCCTCATCGCCGTATCGCTTTGTGGCTTTGTCGCTCTCGAGTCTTTGAGTCGTTGAGTGTTTGTTTTTGGTGGCAATCAATTCGTCCTTTATTCTGGTCGTTTCGCCCTGCCGTTTCGTTTTCTTTGTTCGTGATTGATTGCGGCTTTGTCGCGTTTCGTTCTCGTGCTCGCCCATCACCACCCGATCCAGGCTCAACAAAAACCTTCACAGCCATGTCCTTCCATCCCCAGACCCCGCAGAGTCCCTCCCAGTTCTCCCCGATCACCTCCGACCCGCTGTCCGGAACGTCAAACGCGTCGGTCGGGACAACTACAAACTCCATCAACACCAACATACACGGCGGCTCCTTCTCGTCCACCTCTGCGTCGGCCGCCACACCATCTACGCTGCCGACGCCTGCACACAGTGTGAACGGCTCCGGCTCCGGCTTTGGCTCCGGCTTTGGTCCTGCCGACGCTGTTCACGGCATGAGCCCCGGCGGCGCCGACTCCCCGCACAAGCGAAAACGACCACTCGACGACACAGGAGACCTCGGCCACGGGTCCAAAAAGGTCCACATGGAGGGCCAGCAGCGACTGGACTTTGAGGCCCTGCACCAAGATGTCGGAGAGAAGTATCTTGTTTGCAATAAGCGTAAGACTTTTCCTTGTCCATTCCTACGCCACCCATCCCCACCATCCCCCCATCCCCACCATGCCCGTACACCCCGTCCTGTCCTTGGCAAGCACGCGTCCCTCTTGGTATGCCTTTACAACATTCAAAGAAAGACCTGTGTTAACGCTGAGCTCTCTTTGTTTCTGCCTCTCGATATACAGCTCATCGACCATCGTTCCCTCCATTGTCGGAAGACCTCTTTGAAATGTTCAACCTGACGAGCATCGCCGCCGAGGTCGCACGAACGCTACCCAACGGTGAGAAGAACGCGATGCGCAAGACATACAAGGGCTACATGAAGAAGCTGGGCGTGTCTGGCCACTTTGAGCCCTTGAAACGGGACGAGGGCGACGAGAGCGATTTCATGCGTCTGATCAGCGAGGCCGACGACTCTTGGCAAGCGCGACAGGTGAAGACAAAGGACATCCACTACGGTTTGCTCGACGACGTCGAGGCCGATTTGCGGCAAGCAATGACCATGAACAAGGGTCCCATTCCCAAGGCCATCTGGGACAGCTCCGTGCTGGGCGACCTCGCGCCGGAGAAGCTTGTGTCCATTGGCGCACGGCCGTCGTCCGTCCGCGGCACAGCGCCCAACACACCGCTTCACCCGGCTGTTGCACGGTCAAAGGTACAGCCGCCGCTTTCCGCGGCTGCCGGCGGTGCTGGCAGTCCGGGCAGCCTGGACACATCACGGCCGCGTCGCGTGAACAAGAAGCGGAGCTACGGCGAGAACAGCTTCGAGGGCTATGGAGAAGGTTTCCCTGACGATGACGGCGGTGACGGCGGCTATTCCACAGGCGACGGCGACGGCCCGAGCCACAAGCGGAGAAAAAAGGTAAGACACTTTGTTTCTTGCCTGTTGGCTACCGGTGCATCCGTGCCTCCAGTGGCGGCCATCATATGAACGTTTTGGCTGACTTTATATTCAGAATGGCACGCCGACTGCCCAGTACAACTCGGCACCTGTGCGGCAGCAGAGCTATGGACCTGGCATGGTCGGCGCCTAAGTAACCAAACCCAAGTACCTGGGATATAGCTTTCTCTTTTCAGATTGGAGGCCGGCACCCGTACACGCCACTGGCGCAAGGGAAGTAGGAAGTTGCCGGCACCGCCCAGCACCTACCGAACACCTTCCGAACCGATCCAGACAGGCCCTCTCCACTTGCAGAGACAAGCAACGCAGAAACATGTGCTGTGCCGTGGTCCAATCGAGGTGTTATTACAACGCGGCCCTAACAGGCACCATACAGGCATGTCTTGGCTGGCATTTACATTTGGGGTCTTGTCCGTGTACAATCCACCTGCAGATACAGCGCTATGACCAGTCGCGCGACTGTGGCAGGTTGCTCTACCTCCGCTTCGCGATGCCGCACCATCCGAACGCCTGTCTACGGACAAGACATCCCTCGGTCATCCTTTCTTGTCCAGTCTTTGTCAGTCACGTGCTGACACTGGCCGACGGTTTCCTCCGTTGCCTATTTGCTTCAAATTTTTCTGTTCTCTTTAATCATTTTCTTGTTTTGGATTTTTCACAGCATGGCGTTGGGGCAAAAAAACTACTCATACCTACCCTACATTACATTTACACTTTTACTTTTCTTTACTTTCAGTCTGGTTTCGTTTTGGCTCACTGCCTCGTTCTTGACGCGGGGGCTTTCGCGCTTTTTTATTCCTACTGTGCTTTATTGTTTACCAGTCATTGTTTATCACGGTGGGCCGTCTCTTGTCTCCTTCGTCTCGACCAATCTACCAGGGAAAGGAGGGACTGGAAAAAGACTTACGAAAGGGTCTGGCTCACGAGTATTATATCTTTTTGTTTTTCGTTTTATGCGTGAATGGTGCGGAGGGACCCTATGGGGAGCAGAAACACACAAAGGAAAAAACACGAGCATACAGCCTTGGGCAAGCAAGACACAACGGTGGCTCAACAGAGACGCAGTGTGATGTGTTTCGGTTCTTTTTAGGGGGGGGGCTGGATGGCCGCTTTCCCCCGACGACGAGGAATGTGAGATCCAAAGCCACAGGCTATATCAATCGAAAGGGGAAATGGAGATTTTGGTTTATTTCTGCCTGTTGTGCTGCCGTGTCATCGTTTATTGTGCTCTTTGTACGGTGCACTGCTTGATGGCCAGAAAGCTCTCTGGTCTTCTTTTTATGGTTCCTTGTTCTCTTGTTCTCCTTTTTTCTCTACTTCACTTGACGACGGGCTTACGCTCCGTCTCGGTGCTGTTCTGGTTCGCTTTTTACAACGGTTCAACAATCGTTCCCTGCTCTATACAGAGAGACAAGGCGAGATATAAATGACTTAAAAAGGTTTCAAACTATGCATTATTGCAAGGTGTCTCCTTACTGTGACAGGTGACAGAATGAGCATGGGTAGAACGATGTAGCTTGTGCGATTGGATGTTTACCAGGCGGTTGCTGTCCTCCAAAGTAAAAAGGGCGTAAACTATTACATCGACTTGATGATGTAGGTCACGGTGTATATCCCTCATAAAATGTTGCATGGATGCTGCGTATGTGTTGGTATTGTCTACGGTTTTGACGTAGTAATAGAATACAATGCGCCCCCTTTTTTGCAAACAAAAAAAGATGACACGAAAAAATCATACGTACGAAAATAAGAAAAAAAAAAAAAGTAAAGTATAAAAATTAAAATCAAAATCAAAACCTACCGACAAAGGCAAAAACACACATTTCAACATCCACAGTTCATGATACTTTACATTGTAAAATGCGGTTGAATGACAAGATGCTGTTGATTGATGTTTTTGTCTTTTCTTTCAGAGGGCGATGATGGTCTGGATTATTGCCGATCTGGGAGGGTCCTATCCAGCAACTGGGGCCTTGGACGTCGATCTCCTATTCCCGGAACAGTAAAGAGCAGTCGAAACATCGTAATCCAAAATAACAGACGGTCGATCAGCACCGTACGAAGTAGAAAGTCTCACTCGGCAGGATGAGCAGCCCAAAAAAAAAAAAAAAAAAAAAAAAAAAAAAAAAAAAAAAAAGAAGATAAAGTAAAATAAAACTTAAAAATTTAATATTGCTAGAAGCGATAACAACTTCACACATTGAACAAGCATTACATAAGTCCACAGCAGGGCAATCAGAACAAATTCATTTTTTATTTTAATGGCACGAAACGCATGACAGCGTGGCGATGACGAGTCCTATTTACTCTGTAAGGTGGGTATCAATACTCAAGATACTCGCAAAAACCCTCAAATGTCCCTTGCTAGTTCGCGTCTGAAACTGGCCATCCCCCGAACCTCATACAACGGTCTTTTTGTTTAGAGAGCAACAATGGGAGCACTTTGCACGGAAAACTCTGATGACTGGGCGCTGTTTACCCGCACTTGCCCACATGGAGAGAAAAGCCAAGCAAAAGAGTCCAGGGTACAGACGCTGCCCTGGCTGCATTTCAAGCCGAAGCGAAAGGCGCAGACGGTTGACGTGCAGAGAGCGACGTGGTGGACAGAGAGGCAGACACGCCATTTCGGCCAGAATCGAGTGCAGTTATGGACGTTGCGACAAAATGTACCAACTAGAAAAGACCTTTGCCATGTCCTCAGAACACAGCTCCGAATTATTCAATGCGCATACGAATCGGGCGAATTCTCGCCAAGACGGCCATTCTCAGGGCGATTATGTCGTCCTCGTATCGAACGCGTGTTCCTCTTGGATTTTAATACGGCCTGTCTCCTTTCAAATGGCATTCCTTAAAGGTTGCAGCTCGGGAATAGGACAGCCATGCGGCAAGAGACAAAAACAACGCGAGAATTCTCAAGACGTAACCACACAAACGGGCCACGGCGGCCTGAGCCGGACAATTTATATACCCTGCAGCGAGAAGCAGACAACCATCGGTTCTGCTTTGCCTGAATGCAGACGAGGACGGGGCAGGGAAGAATGACGCAGGATCCAGACAGAGTTAAGTGCAAACAGGCTATAAAATCAAAATATGACATGGCAACAATAAAAGTAATATATTTTCATTTCGGACCACCCGCGCCAGCAAGCAGAAAAACCGCGAGCGCTTTGCACCCTTTCCGGTTACCCTTTGCAGTTTCGTTTTTTGTTTGTCTGGCCGTTGGCCGTTTTCGGGTTGTTGCCAGTCCCTCGTCTTCCCGTCTCTCGTCCCTCGTGGCAAATGGTCGTGCAGCATTTCCCGTTCCACCGCATGCGTGACTGACAGCAGAACACTCCTATTTCTGTCCTCTTGTCCTCCCTGTTAATGCCTCGTCGGTCTCGCTGTCTGTCGTCCAACCAGCCGGATCAGCTTGCGAGCTCAGCTCCGTCATGGTCCTGCCCCATCCCTCATCTCATCTTATCTACCAACCCACCCAACGTCGCACCAGAACAAACAGAGAAAAGACAAAGACCTTAGATACGTCGTACGCCGGACGGACACTGGCTGGGCACACTCCATCTCGCTTGATAGTGTGGCGTTGCCCAGGACGCACTGCCCTGGTGGAGAGCAATGCTTGCAGGTAATTGCGTCTTCTCAGTTTGCATCTGCATGGCGCACAAAGGGTCCCTATTTTGGTCGCAAATGACTGGGGCATCGGAGCGTATGTCGTACCCATCGGTTGTACTTCGTACATGTGCTCGCATTGTCGTGGGCCACCGCTGATATGTAATTACTTACCGTTGTCCGTCGCATCTTTCTTTTTGGTGTTTGTCGTAAATAGCGCCATGCGCCATGCCTAGCTGCGTGCATTTTGTGCGCCAGCCGACGTCCAGGCCACTCGCTCCTGCCCCGCCCAATATGGGTATTCTTTGCTTTCCCACGAGCCGGCATTCTGTACCTTCTTGGCGAGCATTCCTTCATTCCTTCCCGTCTTCGCGTTCCTTTGGTCCTTCCTCGCGACAACAGATCAGACGGAACGGTCTCGAGGAAGCTGCCTCGTGCTTTCCTTTGTATTTTCTCTTCTTCTGGTCTGCAGCACGTAAGATACTGTTTCCTTCTGCTGTTCCTTCCCCCTGGCATCCATCCCATGTTGGCAAGAACCTCCCCACCACGCTAGGCCCATTCTTACTGTGGCCCAATACGACACCAGACCCTGTCCTCCCAAGCATCAAATTTCCTTTTGGTGTCCCCGGTCCTACGCAGTAGTGACCTCGTTCGCTCCTGCTATTTTTCCTCTTATTTCTTCTCGAAATGACCCACCTTTTGGACCAGAGACCCACTCATAGAGTCCCGTAATATTAATAAAAATAAACCTTGGCTGGCAGGGCCTCCGTGGTTGGGTTTCCAGAACAGTGCAGAATGGTGCAGAAAGTGCAGTATGATGTCGTATTTTTCGAGAATTGAAAGTATTTTGAAATGTTTTCAGGCAGTTAACTGGCTCTGAGAAACGCGAGCTCGTTCCTGAAGGAAACCCACTGTGATTTGTTTCCCAGAGCACCTTCCTACGTTTGCCCGTTTGCACCTTCCTGCACATCCAGTCAACCACCCACACCACTTTCTTCGGTGCATGCCTCTGTCTGTGCCTGTGTGCCTGCGTCCTTCTGCCGCGGCTGACATCCCATTCGCTGCTTCCCCTTTTGTTCTCCGGTTTGTCGTTTCCTCTTTTCCCTTTTCGTCCTGATTTTCGTTTCCTCGATCTTTGTTTCCCTTCTCTCGTACGCTCTCTCTTTACCTCTCTCTCTCTCTCTCTCTCTCTCTCTCTCTTACTCTCTCTCTCTCTCTCTCTCTCTCTCTCTCTCTTCTCTCCCTCCTCCTCCCCTCTCGTCGCCTTCGCCCCCCAGCCTCACGAAACTCACCCCCTATGAGCGAGATTGAGCGGCATCTCCTCTGACGATGAGGAGCTGGAGAGGGACGCCGACGAACGAAGACGACACCACCGCCGAATAGAAGGAGCGCGACGATCCTTCACATCTAAGCAAACCGACATTCGCGACAACAGCCAGGCGAGCACTGGACAGCGACGACATCATCCTTCGCAAGTCGACGACAAACAACGACCATGAGAATGGACTGTGCCGACCGAACCACCATCAC